CACAGTACAAGGCCTTTTCATCTTGCGGTCATGGGTAGGCAGAAAAGCCACACTTCTCCCACATTTCAAGGCTGAGTGGTTGCGGTATCCATAGTACCGAGCCAAAGGGTTAACAACTCAATACACATCGTGACCCCTGCGTAGTGCAATCGAACCGAATTTATAACGGCTACCTTGAACCTATTACATTTGTATGCAGATTGCTGGTCCCTGGCCTCCCAGGCAGTAGGTCTACTCTCACTTTCCTCATAATGGGGTCCTGGAACCCACATGGGGAATGACAAACATCTGACAGTCCCTGACTGACAGATGACTGGAATGAAACAAGGCCATCCCCCCAAAAATGCATGTATGTGTGTCTGCGTGCGTGCGCCTGTTTGTGTGCAGTTACAGAGCATATTGTTTGGTTCATTTTCTTGGCAATAATAGTTTAGGCTTATTATCAGTGTCGAACAATTAGTTAACCCTTTCATCCGAGGGACTCAAAAAGGTACAATCACAGTTACGATGGTTTGAAGATGTACGCAGAATGGGAGAAAAATCGGCCACAATGGTAGATAGTACCAGAGTATTACTGTTAGATGTCTTAACCACTTCATGGGGGAGGGGTGACCTGTAAGACCGGCTTTATTTCTTGCATTCGTCTGATTTCGTTATTTCCTATTCTGTCTTTCCGTGAATTTCCTGCTGCTTTTCTAAGGCATTTAACCCACTGACTACCAAGCCCATTAACCCTTGCATTTCCCCAGATACCACGTATTTTAGTGTTTACAAAAAATGCCATAGCTTCACAACTATTTGATGTAATATATCTCACAATATTTTGTATTTTTTACTTTCAATAGTTTGCCATTGCACTCTGAATGGTCAGCTCTTGATACCACTATTGAAATTAACACAAGACAGTTTGCAGTCTACCTGTTTGTTTCCTAACACACACCGTCATAACCCGCACACAATACAGAAACACTTAATCAAATAAACAGACAATGTACTGATCGGCACTGATAGAAATATGTAGAAAGACAGAAGGACACACTAGTGTCACTAGACATTAAAGTAAGATATCTCATGGATACTAGCAATATAGGGCACAATGTACTGATCAGCACTGATAGAAATAAGTAGAAAGACAGAAGGACACACTAGACATTTAAGTAAGATATCTCATGGATACTAGCAATATGGGGCACAATGTACTGATAGGCACTTATAGAAATAAGTAGAAAGACAGAAGGACACACTAGACATTAAAGTAAGATATCTCATGGATACTAGCAATATGGAGCACAATGTACTGATCAGCACTGATAGAAATAAGTAGAAAGACAGAAGGACACACTAGACATTAATCTCTGTTGTCATTGTTTTACGTTAATTAGAGGATGTAATTGTCCACGTTTGGCACTGATAGCATAGTGTTGGCCCAAAAAAAAAAAAAAAATATTCCTGATAAGATTCACTTTAGTACTCCGGGGTATCAGCTTGTGTGTCAACAAAGGAGATAGTTGCCCCAGTACTTGATCAGTGTTGGCACATCTCGAGCTATCTGTCGAGTTTTCCATCCGATGTGAAAATTGCTCCCAAATACTTTAATTTACCTGTTTATCTTAAGGCGTTGCTTTTTAATTTGATTGATTATTGTCTTCCTATCACCACTATCTCTGTCTGCGTAGTGTTTTCTCATATTATATCCCTCCCCGTTGTTATTAATTTGATTTAGGTGGCTCTGTGGGCATTCCGTACTTTCTGCTATGAGTACCTACCTGGTCGTTGGCAAACAGTAGTTCTGTAGTATCTTCTTCATGATTTAAAGTTCGTTTCCTTACATATGGTATCCATGTATGTTATAAAAGAAGTGGCGATAGTAAACAGCCCTAAACACACCAGAGTTCACTATAAAAGTTCTTGACAATCCTGCCTTAGATCCTACGCTGATGCAGCATTCAGTACGTGTGTACAGGCTTTTGCAAATATTAATGAGATGATTGCTGATTTATTTTTCCCTCATACATTCTCACAACCTTGCAGCTCTATCGACGAAGATGGTACCAATGCTGAATTAGAAAAATAGATGTAGAATTTATAGTTTCACAAATAGATTGGATCACAGACTCTTATTTGTAACCATGACTCCAAGTGTTCAGCAAATCACAAATACAACAATTCTTCTATAAGATTAAATATAAGTATTAAACATATGCACATACTACTGCAGACGATATAGAATTCAACAATAAAAAAAAAAATAAATTATTTAAAAAAAAAAAAAATAAATAAAAATTTTAAAAAAAAAAATAAATTTATAAAATTGTACATTGACCCGATAATTTATTCAGCATAAGAGATCAGAGTTGAAAGCTATTTCTACAATGTTTGTGGTAATTGGTGCTTCTGTTGAAAACAAACATTTTAAAACTAAAAGAATGTTAATTTCAGTACATTTGATTACTTTTGTCAAAAATAAAGGAAAATATAACAATTAAAATAATCTATTGCAAAAAAAAAAAAAAAAAAATTTTGTTTGCTTAAGGGGCAGGTCAATTAACCCTGATTTATGAAAGAAGAATGATGATCAAAATAGTGGCTAAGAGTTCCGTGTATATAGATTAAGTTTCATAAGTATGGCGGAAAGGTAGGTTGTCGTCTTTTGTACTGGTGTTGGAAATTGGTATTTGTTTGACAGACAGTGGGTTTGTACTGCAGTCGATCTGTTGATATTCCTCGCGAGAACAGTTATATGTATCTTTTTATGGTCAGTTTATTTACAAGGATCTCTAGATATAATGCGATTCGTCCGTTGGTTGGCGTCAGGTCGGCTGGTCGCCATCATTTGTTGACGAAATATTAAAAAAAATGTCTTCTTACATTTTTTAAATAGAATTTTCAGCAGAGGTAGTTAAGTTTGTTTCTTTCTTTCGTGTAAATCATTACTGTACTGAATACATCATTTGATAATGATAATGATCATAATTTATTCTTAAAACGAGTACATTATTGTTAAAGTTAAACTAAAAAAAAAAATGTACAAAGAAAGAAAAGACAGTAATTATTTATGTTTTCTATCTTATTTATAGTTTTCAGCAGGTCGTCAGGTCAGGTCAGTAGTTAACTAAACTAATCAAATGAGTGACTAGTGCAACACATTAAACAAATACTTTGTAATACTTGTGACAAGTCTTGTCCAGAGAATGAATGAATGAAATTTAGTTTAAATTGACTTTCACAGTCTCTGACAAACAGCTTCATCACATCTGTGAATCTGTACATGTGGGAGTACCTGAGGATATCCTCCCAATAACGGTCCTAAATTATCTATGCAGAAAATGAACCCTAACAGAGCCTCATTAGTTCATGCCCTACAATGATTTAAATGTTGTAACTCGGAAAAAATAAGGAACAAAAAGTATGAGGAAATGGAGGAAGTCTACTACTTACCGATAATTAAATCATTAATATGTGAAAATTGTGGATCAGAAGTTGCAAATTGCCAGAATATCTGTTTTTTCTTGCTCTCCGCCATTCTAACTAAGCCGAACAGGACGCGGCTTCTCCGCGATTCTCGTTCCGTGCTATACATAATCAGTAATGCGCGTTTCAATGTACGCGCATGTCGCTTCGGGACAACTTCAAACCAGCAGCCACCACTATGGCGCTTCATTGTCCCGACTACCCCTTGATCGTGGCGAATGCGACCAAGCTGCCAGTTGCGACGGAAGAAGTAGCTCATGACTTTTTTCCGGCGACTATAATGCCACCTCCGAGAGTATCCCCGCGTGACGCGGAAGGGGCTAAACAAGATGGCTAGGACTCACAAGCAAATACATTGGAGGAAGCTGCAGGAGAAGCGGTAGCTGCTGCTTGTGAGTCCCAGCCATCTAGTTTAGCCCCTTCGCGCCGCGCGTAGCGGCGCAGGGATACTCTCGGATGTGGCACTATAGTCGCCGGAAAGTGGTCCGCAACTTACATATAAGTGAGGTGCTGCCATGAGATAGCCCTATCGGGAGTATTCTTGCCTGTCGCTAATTTTTCTTCTGTAGGTAATCCTAGTTTTGCCGCCGTTTAATCGTCATAAAAAGTCTGTTGCATTTCGCGAAAATTTCGTGCACAATTTAATCCTACTTTTGACGCGGTTGATTCGCCACAAAATAAATGCGAATTTTAGATATGACTGAGGCTCTGTTAGGGTTCATTTTTGCGTAGATAATTTAGGACCCGTATTCGGAGGATAGCCATCGAGCAACGAGCAAATAAAATGAAGGAAGCTGCAGGAGATGCGGTAGCTGCTGCTCGTGAGTCCCAACCATCTAGTTTAGCCCCAATCCACGCCACATGAGCTGCGTGAGGGATACTCTTGGCGGTGACAGAAGTGTGCAATTGACACGTGACTGAGGCCCTGTTATGGTATATTTTCCGCCTCGATAATTTGGGACCGTTATTTCGGAGAATAGCCGATAAATGTATTGTAAATATTTTTGAATTGTTTATTTACATATTTAGAATGTGTTAAGTTTAATTTAGTTTCAAATTAATTTGATTTTAACCCTCTGGAGACAACGCGGCCGAAATATCACACACACACACAAACGATTGGGCTGATCGATCGGCCCTGTATAATAATTATAATACAAACCTTGAGATTGGCTGGCAGGTTTTCATGCCAGCTGATCAGATTGCTTCTCGCAGTTCTTGCACATGTGCCCTGTTCACTGATAGCTTTCTATAAAGTTTTGTGTGTTCTGTAATTTTACAGGGGGGGTGTTACCTGTGCCCGGCAATAGCAAAAATCACTGTTGCGTCGTAGCAACCAAAACATAGGAGGCAGATGTGATGTTGAGGAACAAGAAAAAAGCCCTGATCTGTGATTCTGGTGATCATGTGAAATGACAAACTATGACCGCCAACACTGGTTTTCATGACATTTGATAATTATTTCATACTGTGATAATAGAGTTAATATATCTTTTCTTTTAGTTCCAGGTAACTGAAATAAAATCAAAATGCAAAGGCGAATAGATGAACCACAGGTAAATTTGGCATGTGTAGATTTTTTTAGGTCCCATTTAGTAGAGGACACGGATCTATAGGTTTCTGCTTTAGTAGAAAGTTGGGAGTTCCAGTGAGTAAAAGATTTCAAATAGAAAATGATTAAACAGGCTGCTGACGATGGGAACGGAGCACTTTTTGGAATAGTTAGTATTCTACTTTTGTTTTCTCTTGGCTGATCATTTTTCCCTGAAGAGTTTGCGCTTTGTCTATTTAGCTTTACTTAACCATGTTTAATTTTTAAAGGCAGTAATTATTTATAATGTGCTTTTTTAATGTGTAATAATGCCTCAACACGACTAGCCTTTTACTTCTACATTTAAATAACCACTGCTTGTTTACTTCTTAAAACTGAATGCTGAAATAACTTGTGTAAGCTGGTGTTGCAGCCAGCCGTGTTGGGGGCAGCTAGCTTTCTTAGGAGGGTGAAAAGTGTAAATTAGTAGCCTGCTACTGTCCCCTGAACCAGCCACAACCTCACGGTGGTACAGACTGGAAACTGTATCCATGAGGATACAGGCTAACAGGGAAATGGCCATCTCGAGAGAAATGGGGCCTGCCAGGGTTGAAATACTGCACAACGCGCACTATGTTGTTGACAAGTAGATCACAGGTCTCAGTCATGTGACCATGAAGTCCATTGCAACTGACCACCAAAGGTGAAGAGAGCTGATCAGTCAACAGAAACTGGTGACCCAGTGACACACAGTATTACGGGATGATGATAAGGATGAAGCTTTATTATGGTATGTTCAGTTGTAATAATTGTATGGCTTTCATATAATCTGTAATAAGATAAGCCAAGATTTTTGCTGAGATTTTACAGTAGTTTGGTTTTCTTTGTTGTTCAGCAGCGTAGGGTAAATTCTGGCGATGCATATCCACGAGTGATACCTCCTGGCGGATCACGCTTTGGTGAAGTTGGGGACGGTATATCTACAAATATGACTTTCCCAGTTCCAGGTTATCCGTAAGTGCCTTATTTGTTTGTCATGCATAAGTGAACATTAAGCTTGAAATAAGCTTTAAGAATATGAGAGTGGGTGTTTAAAGATGAGAAGATAGGCTTTTTTCTTTGGGTTTCATCAATATGTCTCGGTGTTTCTCCACAGGCAGCTAGCCCTGTAAGGAAACATCGAACAACATATCTTCTTCACTGGCTGTAAACTCTTAACAGGAAATGGATGCTATTTGCCTTCTTCTAAACATTGGTATCATTCCGGAACTTGAATGTTGAGTGCACAAATGTTTTACATATCTGGTGTATATGTATGCAGTCTGTTGGCTCCTCACCTGTTAGGCAGTTGCACTCTGACTGTGATAGGGAACACCTCTAATCACTTCCTGTGTTCTGCTTGATATGGGGAGAAAAAAGGGGTGGGGAAGGAGTCTTTATTTGTCCAATAATGGTGCCCTGGAACCCACACAGGGAAAACCAAATCTGAACACTAGCTCAGATGATAGCACCCAGAGCTTTGCACCTCCTGGCCACACATTTCTGTGCAAATAAACATGTGCTGTCATTTTCACCCACACCGCCTTATATACTGTAAAAAAAAATTATCACATGCGTACATTAGTTTTCAGCAATATTAATGAGATTTAAAAAAAATGTATAGTGGTTTTAGGTTTCGGAATAAAACGAGTTTATTTTTAACCACTCTAGAACATACTCATTACAATATAGACCAAGGGCATGTGCTATGAATGGCTAGGCAACAGCCAGTGAATCATTTAAATATTTAATGTTATCTTATATACACATGTACACAAGACAACTAACTACCTGTACCAGAAGGAGACAACGCACAGTCCTGGGACACATCATGAGTATTTTGTGATGGGAGGAGAGGCGAAGGGAGACCAAGAGAGATGATGGGGAAAGTTTGGCACCATGTCAACTGTTTCAGAAATAGATAGCTAGCACCTGAGACAGAGCTGTGGGCAGGCGTGATAAATATCACACAGTGTGGACTTGAAGAAATATATACCTCTGTGTGTGTGTGTGTGTGTACATCATTAATAGTACTTGATTTTGTATCTGTGAAATTGACACATTGAGAAAACCTGAAACACCCCTTGAGGAAATGTATCATTTGCTACACCTCATGATTATTGTTATTTTAATGTTTTTATATATAAATATATATGTTACCTTACAGGCTAAACCAGGCCGGGGCACATCATGGCCCTGTTCCCGGTGCTTTGTCACATTCGGTGGGACTTGGTGTCCCAGTGACGGGTGTGGGAGCCAACCCACAGTCACTGCACACGCAGACAGCTCATCAGTCTAGCATCTCTCAGAATCAGGTTAGTCTTGTGCTCAGTTATTTTCTAGACGATAGAGCAATCATACATACCCCAGTGAACTACACTGTGTTTCTTAATTGATATATTTGTAGTTTCTCATTTTGGTTTTAATTAGTTACACCTTTTTTTTCTCTCTTGTTTTTCTGTGAAGTTAATGCTCACTCAGAGGTTCCATCACTTGCTGTAAGCACTGTTTTTAAACCTTGGGATCCATTATCACCATAAACATTAATTGATTAAAGCTTAATTGTCCTGTTGCTCCAGTTTACTCAGGCTGTGGTTATGCTGAAGTGGTGGCTATTATATGAAAGTATTTCAGCTGAATAATGTTCTTCTTTGTTTTTCTTAACATGGAGGTAAAAGTTTCTAATGCTTATGTAATTTAAAGAAACAGTTTAGCTGATATAAGACTACAACATGGCTTTTGTTATACTTTGTTTGAAGCTTGTAATCATTTCATGATATCCATGGAAACAAGATTCTGCAAAGGACATGCTACTGACTGACTGATATCCATGTAGTACAGAGGCTAGCCCTTATTTTACTGTGAGATCAGTGGTCATAGATTTCTTCTTCTCCTTCTAAATGTTCACTGGCTGTAAACTCTAAGGAGAGTTCTGGTTGTCCACTTAGTCTTGTTCCAGAATGTTTCTGTAAACATCCATTTTACAAATCTGGCTCTAAACGCTCTAAGACAAATGCATCTTTTATGACATGCTTGTTAAGGGGCAGTTGGTATATACTTGTTCCCCAAATGTGGGACACTGGAACCTAAACAGGAAAGGAAAGATCATAAGTATGAATTCCTTTCAAGTCAGAATTTAAAAATTGAGCTTAAAAGCCAGATTGATTGAGCCTAAAATGGTATCAAGAAGTATTTAGGAAGCAGTGTCTAATTGAGGAGTGGCTGGCCAAATATTTAGGGACCCAGAGCTCTCATGTGGGAGACCTGGGTTTGAAACCTTAGTAAGGTTGGAGATTTTTTCAGTCAGGGCGAAAAACAAATCCTAACCTGAACAGTTTGTGATGACAGAACTAGCTGTGTGGCCTTAAATCTTCAGTCTCAAAGTAATGTCCGGGGGGGGGGGGGGGAAGTAGAATGGCTAACATGATACTGACTACATTACTTGCCAGTTGGTGTGTATAAATATGAGGGCAGTACCATATGCACGGTAAGTAGAGAACACATGAAAATGGCTCCTTAACTTGATTTCACTTATTTGTCTGAAACTACACCGGCAGCCTAATTTGTTAAAATCATTATTGCGACAGATGTCAGGACCTTCTATGTCTGGTGGACAGCAGCAGCAGCAACAGTTCCAGCGTCTGAAGGTAGAGGATGCTCTCTCCTATCTGGATCAGGTGAAGCTGCAGTTTGGTAACCAGCCCCAGGTCTACAATGATTTTCTAGACATTATGAAGGAGTTCAAATCTCAGACGTGAGTATTTGTTGTATAATGCTAAGTGTATGTTTGGGAGAGTGATAGAATACATTTTGTCACATATAATACCTTTGAGTGTCAGTTAATTAGAGTACTTGATTAGTGTTATTGAAATGTTTTTGCAATGCTGAGAACTTTGGGGGCATAGTTGCTAGTTTTGAAAATGGTGGGGGTGGGGGGCTGCATTTGAGCTGCTATAAGTGAATTAGCTGAGCACAAACTATGAGTAGAAAGTTAAACAAGATGGGGAAAGTGAAAACATAATTTTTTCCATGTTTTGGCTGAAGCTTCTGTCAACAAGTAGTACAGCAAGAACATTCATGGTGTTTAGGATTTCTCTAGGATTGTCAATACAGGTTGAGCTTCCAAGCCATATTTTAAAAATTATTTGATGATTAGACTAGACAGAAAATGCAGACAACAAAACCTAGCCATGGTGGTGGCAGAAATTCAGGCCTTCATTTTTTAGAATTTGCTTTAGCAGGGTGCTGACATTTACACTGATGGGTCTTGTGTTGGCAGTGTGAGAAACTCATGGTCCTTTACAGCTCAGGTCGAAGGAAGAGTAATTCTGCTGTAGAGCGTGGTCCAGCCATGGACCATGCTGGTATACTGAATTCTCTACAAGAAGTAACAATTTTTCAAGAACCAAGTGATGACTGAATCTGCAACCATGACCAGACTGCAAGAACAGCAAGTTAAAAGTTGTGTGGCCAGATAAGAGCTCTATGCAATAAGCCAAAGAAGAAAAAGAACCATCACAGAACTGGTATCCTCAGCCGCTTCACACTACAGGATTTACTGGGGAGTGGTTCCAAGCACTTATGGATTAAAGGGTTTGCTGTGCAGTGAGGATTTGTCGACTAACTGATGATCAGTGTGTTTGACTACCATTAGAGTGGTACAGGTGTATTATTCTCAGCTGAGAGCCAAAGTTAATGGTTTTTTCCAGCCAGTGGCTCTCTGTGGTTAATCCAGCCTCATAATAACGGTTGCTGCCAAATAGTTTTCTGGGTGTCCTGGAAAGAAAAGGTGATAAGGAAAGGAACTGGCCATCTTATTTATACTACAGGGCTAGAGTACGTGAAGGCCTTACATCGAACACTGCAGTGGCAGTAATTGCTGTGGAACTATCTTTATTTTAGGCAGTGCATGTGTAGATCAGAAATGATCACATGCATGATTTAGGACACCTTAAGTTAAACAGCATTCTTGGACATGAAGATTATCAGGGTGTGCTGTTGAACCATGTGACTTTCTTCTGGACCCTTTCCCAGTTATGCCTCTCCAATTCCCTGTTAGTCATTTGTGTAAACAAGGATCCAGCTAGGTGGTGCCTAAGGTGGCAATGAAGTTTCAGTTTGTGCTTTTTGCAACTTTCTTGGCAGATGGCTATCCGTTATGAAGAGAGACAAAACCATGTGAGATAACGTTGACTGAAAACGTAAAAATGTTACAGTACTGCAGCATGTGCTACCCACACTGAGAGTCATTTAGGTTAATTTTGCAGAACCTCTACGTCCACGCTGTGCCAGCCTGCCTTCCTCAGATGTCATTAGAAACTCAAACATTTGAATTCTCTTTACTTTAGAATTACAACCAGTTACTTAGTCAGCAGGGATTGGCAGTTATAAATGCTACTTATTATGTTGTATAAATAACATACGCATGGCTGTTGGACAGTGTTTCAGTAGTGGCCCGGTGGAAGAGATTAGGACCTGGCCAAGAAATATTCCTCAAAGGCAGCAGTGATCCACTTCAGCCAGCCTCCTTTGTGGAGATGACACATCAGTAATAATGAATGCTGTGAATATTTTTGTTTTGGGAAACCACCATCATCATATAGTGGTCCTTCGCATAACATTTCTCTCATCATGGTCTGCTCAAAACTGGCTCTACTGTCCCTTGCACTTTCTTACCCAAGGTGTCACTTGTATACTGTGCCCATCTTGTGCTGATCGGTCCTTACTCCTCTCTCCTGGTACAATGCCCTCTGCTATTATTTTTTTTTCCTCTAAATCCACTGTGACACGATCTGGCCAAAATATGAAAATTTCTAAGACAAGATGCTGTTTAATAGCCATTTTTCCTTGATGTTCAAATCTTTTAGGATGTCAGTATTTCTTTTATTCTTTGTTCATGTTTTTCTGAAAATCTTTCTATAATGTTTCGGTTCAGAAGCCCATGACATTTAGAGAGAGAAAAAAAATATGTTACAAGAAAATCATTAAATGTCATATTAAAATGAAAATTGAGTGCTTTCCAATTTTATTTCAGCATTGACACCCCTGGTGTTATTAACCGAGTGTCAAACTTGTTCAAAGGTCACCCTGACCTCATTGTGGGCTTTAACACTTTTCTTCCTCCTGGATACAAGATTGAGGTGCAGTGTGAGACCATCAATGTCCATCAGCCTGGTCAGCAGGTCATGTCCATCACTGCTCTAGCTCAGTCACAGGCAGTGTCCACTGTGAACAGGGTAAGTGACTAGGCCGCATTCAGCAGTGATTGGTTTTCTTATTGCTTCATGTTGTGGTTATGTCTTCATTTTTGTGTAGATACAACTGAAACCCTTAGTGTACATGCTCAGCTAATTTCTAAGGAAGGACTAGAACTCATGTCATGGCAGTGTACAGACCGCCAGATCTAATGTTGCTGCATGTCAACATACAGATGACCACGGATTAATGTTCCTACATTTCAACATACAGATGACCAGAACTAATGTTGCTACATATGAACATACAGATGACCAGAACTAATGTTGCTACATATGAACATACAGATGACCAGAACTAATGTTGCTACATATGAACATACAGATGACCAGAACCAATGTTGCCACAAATGAACATACAGATGACCAGAACTACTGTTGCTACATGCCAGCATACAGATGACCAGAACTACTGTTGCTACATGCCAGCATCATACAGATGACCAGAACTACTGTTGCTACATGCCAGCATACAGATACCAGAACTAACTACATGCCAATACAGATGACCAGAAACTACTGTTGCATACATGCCAGCATACAGATGACCAGAACTAACTACTGTGCTACATGCTACATACATGCTACAGCAGCATACAGATGACCAGAACTAATGTTGCTACATGCCAGCATACAGATGACCAGAACTACTGTTGCTACATGCCAGCATACAGATGACCAGAACTACTGTTGCTACATGCCAGCATACAGATGACCAGAACTAATTTTGCTACATGCCAGCGTACAGATGACCAGAACTAATATTGCTACATGCCAGCGTACAGATGACCAGAACTAATATTGCTACATGTCACCATACAGACGGCCAGAACTAATGTTGCTACGTGTCATCATACAGATGACCATGAATTAGTATGGTTACATTTCAACATTCATATGACTAGAACTAATGTTGCTACATATGCACATACAGACGGTGAGAACTAATGTTGCTTCATGTCAACATATAGATGATCAGGTTTAATGTTGGATTATGTCAACATACAGATGACCAGAAATAATGTAGCTGCATGTCAGCAAACAGCGGATCAGAAATAATGTTGCTGCATGTCAGCATACAGATGACTAGAAATAATGTTGCGGCATGTCAGCATACAGATGACTAAAAATAATGTTGAGGCATGTCAACATACATAGTATCATAAATAATGTAGCTGCATGACAACAAACAACGGATCAGAAATAATGTTGCGGCATGTCAGCATACAGATGACTAAAAATAATGTTGAGGCATGTCAACATACGTAGGATCAGAAATAATGTAGCTGCATGACAACAAACAACGGATCAGAAATAATGTTAGCATACAGATGACTAGAAATAATGTTGCGGCATGTCAGCATACAGATGACCAGAAATAATGTTGCTACATGTCAACAAACAGATGACCAGAAATAATGTTGCTACATGTCAGCATACAGATGACCAGAAATATTGTTCTACTTGTGAGCATACAGAAGAGCAGAAATAATGTTGCTACATGTTGGCATACATATGACCAGAAATAATGTTGCGGCATGTCAACATACAGAGGATCAGAAATAATGTTGCTACATGTCAACATACAAATGACCAGAAATATTGTTCTACATGTTAGCATATGGATGAACAGAAATAATGTCTCTACATATCAACATACAGATGACCAGAACTATTGTTGCTTCATGTCAGCACATAGATGACCAGATTTAATGTTACCTCATGTCAACATACAGATGGTCAGAACTAATGCTGCTACATGTCAACATACAGATGGCCAGAACTAATGCTGCTACATGTCAGCATACAGATGGCTAGAACTAATGCTGCTCAATGCCAGCATACAGATGACCAGAACTAACTGAATACAACACAGAATTTGACCAGCAAGCTCAACGAGGAAGAGGAGAATCCTATGTAGTGCTTTTGCTGTTTAATGTGTTGGCAGTACTTGGCATCACCCAAGCCTTTATTATAGATGTGACTCATAGAAATACTAGAGTAGAATAGAGCAGCATTATTTTTAACTTAATCTGAAGTTGTAATCTGTTGGCTAATGCCATTGTATGTGAAGTTTGGTACAATTAGGACATTGCTGAAGCAAGGCCTTTTCTAGAGGATGAGTCACGGCACTCTTTCGGCCAGCTCTCTTTAGATTTCCCAAATAGGCTGTTTTGATGTGTTAAGTATTATTAACTATGCTTGTGAAGTGTTCAGTGCCTCAAATTATGATACTTCCAGTGGATATGTGAGTGTGTTTAAATTTTCTTCAGATGCTTAAAAGAGAAAGACGTTTAAAATTAGTTCTTAGGTTATTAGGAAAAACCTGTGTAGTATGTGTGAAACATTTTCTTACATCGGATATTATTGTCTTTGATAAATTCCTGTGTCACATATTAGTAGTATTTGTGATCAAAAGTAAATGAATAGCTGTCTTCAGATATTATAGATTTTCAAGATCTGGAGTCAGATAAGAAGGAAATTGAAAGGATTATAAATACACTTTTGGAGCCGGATGGAGCTTTAGCATGCATTGTTTTAAATGCCATTATACAGTCACTCTGCACAATCCATAGATGTCAGTATAAAGGTGTTACTTGATATGACTGTACAAGTATTGGTTCAAAATAAAAAGGTTAGTGACAGAGACCTTAGATGGATTGTAGACAACAATAAACTTGTGAGACGGTCACAGCCTAGAAATCATGTAATCCACTACGATGCCTGGTATTGTAGTGAAATTATGCCCAAATAGCTACAGAGATTTAATGGGAGAAGCAGAAAGTATTTTAAATAGTTCTGCAGAACAGCAATGGACTTCTAATGTACTGACACACAAATAATTGACTCAGTGGATGATGTCAGTAATACACCGGTTACCCAGATTTGCCTCTGTGGATGAAGTCAGTAGTACACCGGTTACCCAGATTTGCCTCTGTGGATGAAGTCAGTAGTACACCGGTTACCCAGTCTTGCCTCTGTGGATGAAGTCTGTAGTATACCGGTTATCCAGTCTTGCCTCTCTGGATGATGTCAGTAGTACACTAAACAAAGTCTTTGCTCATTGGATGATATCAGTAGTACACCAGATACACATTTTTAGTTTAGTGTATCTGGATACATACTGGATATTCACCAGCTAAAATGTAAGTAGTTTCTTTGTACTTAATGTTACTATGTTCTTTCTATTTAGTTTACAATATTTTGAGCTGAAAATGGGGGACATCCTGAGCAAGTCAGTCTCTTCTCCACCCACCTCCACCCCTCTAAAAAAATAATCATTTATTATTACTTTTCATTAAGAAACTAAGACATTTTTAAGAAGATGAGAAAACAGTGGATGATCACATCCAGAGTTCAGTTTAGAAAAATTGCAAGAAACATCCACATCAGAGAAATTTGCAGATGCATTAAAACATAAAAATGAAATTTTACCAAATCCATCAGAGGAACACCAAACCTGGCTGGATATAAGAATATGATTTAAACCACTGCTGAAGAATGTCTTGGTGTATCCACCATAAACAGAAAGGACAAATAGTTGGATACAGAAATGGGAAGAAGCAGTAGTAAACAACAAATCCAGACAGTTTTTTAAAGAACTGTAAAATTAGGGCATCAACACAGCATATACGGTTTGAAAGATCAGTATGGGAACATGATAAATAAAAGTGAGGAAATATGTAACAGATTTAAGTACTACTTTGCTGAATTGTGAAACTCCACTAAATACTTATCCACAGGAAGAGGCACAAACATGTGAACCAAATATTAAAGAGCCTGATTTTGAAGAAGTACTGTATGTCATAACACGGCTTAAAAAACAATAAAGCAACTGGTGCTGATGGAATTGCTGCTGAACTTCAAAGAAGTTGGGCATGCATTATATTTAAAGATATATGAATTAATAAAACTAGTTTTGAAGACGGAGAAATTATCTCATGAGTTTCATATTTAGGAAAGTTGACAAGTCTACATATAAAAATTATAGAAGACTATCACTATCTACAAGCTGTACGATACTATCGACAGTACTGCTAAACAGGTTAAAACCCTACTTTGAAGACATGTCAGATTACTAAAGCTGGTTTCTAACAAAACAGATCAACAAAAAGATCAGATAATCATTTTATGGCAAATAGCAGAGCAGAACTGGGAATATAAAAGAGATGTACACAGTGTTTGTGTGGATTTTAAAAAAAAGTGTATAATAGTGTACAAAGAAACAGTTAATGGAATGCTATGAAGGACTTTTGAATACCAAAGAAGTTTATCACCATGACCAAACTATTTATGGAAGACACTTATAGTAACATATAAAGGCAGAAAGTCAGACCCTTTTCAAACATCTGGTTTAAAGCAAGGTGATGCTCTGTCCCCACTTCTTTTCAACGTGGCCCTGGTGAAATTTATGAGAAAATTGAAACAAGAGTGTACTGTAGGAGATACTACAAGAATACTTGGTTATGCAGATGACATTGATATCTTTGAAGAAAATAAACTAGAGACTGTTAAAACACTGATTCTCTCAAAAGAAGCAGCTCACAAAATGGGACTAGTTATCAATCAAGATAAGACAGAATGCATGATAATTAGACAGGGAAAGGATATAAACTCCGGTCACATACTAGTCGATACTATGAAAATCGAACTAACGGGAAAAAATACGTACTTGGGTGCAAACTTCAACTGCTCCAACACGCTGAGAGAAGAAATACAATCTAGAATACAATCTGGAAATAAAGTATACTATGCCCATTCAACATCTGCTAAACTCAAAGTCTCTATCTCACAACACCAAGATCAAAACTTATAAAACGTTGACAAGATCAGTCATTTTATATGGCTCTGAAACTTGGAGCACAACTGAAAGAGATGAAATCTTGTTGCAAATTTTCAAAAGAGTCTTGGGCCCATCAAAGATGCAAACAGCGATAAGTGGAGAGTGAGAAGCAACAACAAAATTCATGATCTGTTGAAATCACCATTGATTGCTGGCATCATGAGAATTAATGGACTGAAATGGCTGGGGCATATTGAAAGAATGTCTGATGACAGAGATGTAAAAACTATATACACAAGGAGATGAATGGTCGTAGACCACGAGACAGACCAAGATGATGATGGAGAGATAATGCCCCGACAGACCTGCAAACACTTGGTGTCACCAACTGGAAAGAGAAGGCCAACCAGAGAGATGAATGGAGACAAGTTATATCTGCAGCAGTGAACCTAAAGGACTCTGAATGCTAAAGAAGAGATTACATAAGCCTATCAACTGTATAAGCCATACTAAATTAATATTAAAATGTTTTTCTCTAGTGTTCCTTTAGTTTGTGTATGTGTGTGTGTGTATATATATATATATACATACAATCATGTTCTGTTCTTGAGCTTATTCCTAAAATTTTTGGGGGTAGTACTCAGGGAATGGCTGGGAACACACAGACAAAACGGGACTGTCAGAGTGAAGACGCGACGTATTTTTATCCAGCAGTGGATACGTCACGTCAAGCTGACATTATCAGCCCCACAACACATACTGGAGACGATCTTGGTTGGAGTCTCATTGAAGATCTGCAAAGTGTAATAGTTGAGTTTGGTTAAGAATTGATGTCATAGCACAGGGGAACATTCTCATAAGCACTCAGTCCTCTTCTTCAGCAGCCAGGGCAGAGTTCCAGTTCCAAGGCACTAGTTGAGGCAAGGAGCTAACAATCTGCATTCACACAAGTCAGATCTGTAAAATAGATTTGCATGCAACACTCAGATTCTGGATTAAGACTAAAGTCCAAAGGTGGACGAACAACTAGAACTTTCTTCTGGAGTTAACAGCCGAGGAACATGAAGAAGAAGAAGAGGTACCAGTTGCAGTCTGATTAAATGTCCATCTTGCCTTTTCCATGAGTGTTGAGGGGCTGTCAGATCCCCTGCTCACTCCCTGCTGCACCATTCTGTTCAGAACATTGATTTTTTTTTTACCTCTGCACTCTTCACGCACTTCCAAAGGGCCTTATTAAAAGTTTAGATAGTCTCTGTGAATTGTAATTGAAGAACTGTAGTGTTGTATCTCTGAAAATTTGGATAACAGTGCTATAAATATTCTTAAAATAGTCAGGAGTTTATTTAAGTTTGTGAGAAATGCCAGAGTTATGATAAGACCAGAGATTGAAAGTGAACACTATCTGGTGACAATAAAGAAAGCAACGGAAAGAACTGCTTAAAAAAAGCCACACCGACAACCATGCAAGAAACCAAGCAGCTGAGAAAAGTTGTTGCTTTTCTCACATGTGTGTGCTGAATGATTCCATGGGTATGTGTTGGCAGGTCGAGGAGGGCTTTGTACGCAGACATTGGGTCAAGTCATTGCAAAACTCCACTGTGCGTAGAGTTACTTTCATCTTTGTTCCAGGCTATGCGGGCATTGTTGGCAGACAGATTAGCCGGCTCTGCCTTAGTTACAGAGGGCCAGTCCATGGACCATTCCGACATTGGTAATGCTATTAGAGAGGTAGGAAGATATCGGGAGCAGCACATCCACATCTTTGCTAAAAGTGCAAAAATTGGCAGTAAAGATTGGCACAGCAAGGCGCAAGAAGCACACAGGATGTGCGAGAAGTCTTCTCAACCAGCATAGGACTGGAACCATCAACAGGGGGATGCTGATGTATATGTTGACGGGGGAATCTGAGCACCTGTGGACGTGTCGGGAGTGCTGTTAAGATAACCTAAATCATAACTTTTAACCAAGAAAGGATGAGGATTAAAGTATACAAACTAAGAGAGCCAAAGTTTAAAGCTATACCAGGAGCTTATAGTGACAACAAAAGGAAATGAAGAAGAACCGCCAGAGGACACTGAAACCCTCTGGTGCAGAGTCATGAATACCGTCACAGCAGCTGCAGTAAAAGCATGTGATAAAGTCCCAAGTGGAAAGAAGGGACATAAGACACCTCCTGGACAGAAGTCAAATCCAAAATAGGAGAAAAGAAAAATGCATGTAAGCAATACCTGGCAGTCAGGAACACAGCTGAAGAAAAAGAGAAATATAAACATATGTGACACTCAGAACAGGCCAAAATTATAGTGCTTAATGTAAAACAGAAATCATGGAAATAATTTTGAGAAAAGTTGGAAAATAATGCAAGAGAAAATCAAAAACTTGAAAGACCCCCAAGAACACGAGGAAGGAGAAAGAGTGCCCTCTGAAATTAATAAAACATGAGGAAGGGGCTTACTACCACAGATGATATGGACAGATCAAAGAATACTTCTTAGAGCTCGATGTTGAAGAAAGGTATGTCTCAGAAATAACGGACCTCAATACAAAGAAGGAAATCATTCATGGGGATGATAACATCAGGATGGAAGAGTTTAAGGCAGCTATTGAGAAGATCAAGCTAGGGAAAGCAGCAGGGCATAATGGTATGACACCAGAGATGGTCAAATATATAGGATTGGCAGGTGAGGAACTTCTTCTGAAGGTTCTCCAAGCAGCCTGGTGTAGCAAAACTATACCAAAAGATTGGGAGATTGCCATCATTATACCTGTATTTAAAAATGGTGATAACAGACAATGTGAAAACCACAGAGGCAAATCCCTCCTCAGCGTTCCTGATAAAAGTTACTCTAGAATTCTCAAGCAGAGATTTAAAGTCTGGCAGAACCACAGCTAGATCGGGCCCAATGCGGCTTTAGAGCAACCCAAAGTACTCAGGACCTTATCTTTACTCTTAGACAGATGAGAGAAATCGCCCTTGAATATAAGAGTGAGATGCGCCTAGAAAAGGCCCCTGGAGAAAGCTTTGATAAGGAAAACATCCCCACCCCTGGAGACAAGCTTTGGAACTATGCAGCAGACCAGGTCAAAGAAAAAAAGACCACTGGCGGTGTTAGACAAGGTGATATTCTCTCACTTTACCTCTTCATTCTTATGATAGATGATATCATTAAGACCTATAAGGAAAAGACAAAGAAGTACTCAGTAGGATGCTGGAAGATGAGACTAATCTGTATATCAGAGCTGGCATTTGCTGATGATGTGGCCCTGGTAGCTAAATCTGAGGTGTAACTTCAGTCCAATTTACTTGTCTGGAAAGAAGATCTTGAGAAAACCATAGATTATCTCAAGAGAGAAGAAGAAACACCAAATCGTGATGGGATATTGTAGCAAGTCAGCCAGTTCAAAAATCTTGGAGTTGTAATAGACAGAAATAGAGGCATTAAGACAGAGCTGGGTGCTTGAAAAGCAGCTGCTTGGAGACTTTTCCAGGCCATAAACCGAGGGTTTCTTAGCAAAAGAGAAATCAGCAAGAGGACGAAATGGCTGTTTAATGCTCTACCTATCTGCCAGTCCTGACCTAGGGGTGTGAGTCATGGGCAATGACAACAGCTCACAGAAACCAGCCTCGGGTCTCAGAAATGAGATATTTGAGAAAGGTGGTCCAAGTGACAAGAAGGGACAAAGTCCACAATCAGACAATACGTCATGACCTTGAAACCCAGGCATACAAACTCTTGAGGATCATCAGTTATGGTTTGGACATATATGCAGAATGGAAAAAAAAATGTGCCAACATGTGAGGCAGAGAACAAGACCTCCAGGGTCTGCTGGGAAGACAACATCTGACAGTTCCTGTGACAGAGGACTGGAATGGGACAAAGCCACAAAGAAAACTGCTGACAGAGAAGTCTGGCGATCTCTCTGCCACACCTTACACCCCAAGGTAGAGGAGGAGTGACTAAGTAAGTAAGGAATAGGCAGGCCATAGGCTAGGTGGACCGAGGGCACTGCTAGGACCTGTGATGTGCATAAATTCAGGTTGTTGTCTGCGCACGCGCGCACACATTCATACACAAGAGTAATTATATGGTCACATGTGTTCCACTAATTTGATATAAATATGTATATATAAATATATTGATGAATGCCCGGCTGCCATGCTCAGTTGGTTAAACCTGACTGCATGGCGACCGGGTGATGACCTCCTTGTGGTCCAGGTTCACGCCCAGGGGTAGGCAGACAAGCCACATTTCTCCCAGATGAAAGGTATCTATCATGAAATCAAGACTGAAGGATTGTGATATCCATAGTACTGAGCCAAAGGGTTAACAACTCATGGTTTCTGGATATAATATATATTAGTCTTTCTATTAGCATTCTAGTGATATTCCTTTTTAAAAACATTTTATTTTAGAGATTGTCTGTTTACAAACCAAATATAATTGTAGTCTTCTATGTTTTGTTTACAGCAGAAGCAAGGGATGTCCATCTGGGATGTGGCTCTGGCATCACAGAGTTCAAATGTGGTAAGTTAACTTTGTCTAGGGTTTTGGTCACATGCATGTACACATCTGTGCACACACACATTAAACATCATGTGGTGCATCACAGAATTCAACTGTGGTAAATTACCTTTGTGTAGGGTTTGATGACATGCATGTGCACACCCACACACAAATTAAGCATAAATGCAATCCAGGGTTGCCACCAACAGACCTCTTCGGCCAGCCGCATTTGAAAATGTCAGTCCAGGATTTCAGCTTAAGCGACGGAGTACGTGCTTTTGAGCTGAGATCTTCTTCAATTGCTCCACAGATAAATAAAAGTGATTTACATATTAAAATGAGGAAGCACAGAAAACACCCATCACGCCGCAAAAATAATCAGAAAGTAAAACGTGCTGGGGCCAGAAAATCGCTAATGAAATTGGAAAGGATAGGTCGAAAGAATGTTCGAAATCTTTACAGGAATTGTGCCAGTGTCAAACAAAGACAACCTGTCCTGGACAAATTAGTATTTGGTGCTGACGTGGTTGCTCTGCAAGAAACACTCCTAGGTGACAATACACTGAAACTCACAGGATTTCACACATTTCAGAACAAACTACACCATGGACAGGCTTTTCTAGTCAGAGATAATCTCAAAGTTAATGAAGTTGACATGTCTAAATGGCAAGATGCCAACCTCCAGTTACACGCTGTTAAAATTCGTGCAGCACAGTCTTTCATGCTGGTTAATTTCTACGCATGTAAAGATAAAGTAAGTAGAGAAAAGTGGATGTGCCTTTAAGAAATAATGCAAACAGAAGAGAATATAGTTTTCTGTGGCAATATGAACGCTAAAAGTTATGGGCAATAATTCAACAAACAGACAAGGGGAGGATTTGGAGGATGCCATGGTGGAAATTAACCTAGTCTGCCTAAACGATGGAAGAATCACCAGGATGGCCTATCAACCAGAAGAAGACAGCGTGCTTGACTAGGCTTTAGTTTCACCTAAACTTAGTCAACACTAGTTGGTATGTACTGGGTAATCATGGCAGCGACCACTGTCCGTGTGTTATTCTCTTAAAAAAAGGGTGTCAGCACACATCATAGGATCATTTCAAACCCTTTTAAATACACATTGAAAAATGATATCGTAAGCAAGCTTAGGAAAATCAAAAGCCATAGGCCGAAAAAAACAGCTGTAACAACCATTGTGGTGGAATGATGAGGCTGAGTCAGCGTGGGTACTTAAAAGACATGCTGTAAAGATCTAGCAGAAAGCAATGAAAACCACAGACTCTATTCCAGACCTACTGCGGGAATGTAAACACACCATGCAGACCACAACAGCAGCTTTCAAAGCAGTTTCCCAGCAAGCCAAGGACACAACCTGGGAAATATTTTGCCATGAAGTCTACAAGGAAGGATCTCTTGCAAAATTCTGGTCCATACACAATGATATGACAGATGCTCCCAGACGCCGAGGCATCAGGGACTTCCGTAATGAAGACCAGACATGAAACAGGTCTGATGAAGAGAAAGGAAGAGCACTCATTGACAGATACCTCAAGCAAATCTGCACGCAAGACACTGCCACCCGTTCAGACGACCATGGATATGGTCGTTGCAACATGTGCCGGTACAGGCATTGAAGATGCCCAGCTTATTACAGTCGCTGAAATTAAGAAAATCATTAAAACATCAAAAAGTCTGCAACTGGCCCTGATGGCATTCATTATGAAGACATTGCCAAGCTGCCAACAAAATCCATGGAGGTCCTATTGTAAAGCCTACAATGATAGCATCTGTAATGGTACCATCGCCACGCACATATTTGGCTATAGAATCATTATGATGCAGAACACATTAGGCAAAACATTGGAAAAGATAATAGCGAGAAGACTGGCAAGTCACGTTGAAATAAATCAGCTGCTACCCTCCACACTTGGAGGATACAGACAGAATACAGAGACATGGAGTAATGCCGCCGTCTTTGCACATGACACATTTAAAGGTTTTCAAGCTAGATTTGAAACATGTGCAGTCGCCATAGATCTGGAGGATGTATACAACAAAGTTCCCTTCCACTAACTAATGTGTCAGTTAATTGAACTCAATATCCCCCCCCTCCCCCGCCACATCTCATTCGATGGATATCTGCCGCACTTTTCCAGAGGAAGGTTGTGCTTCGATGTGGTAGTTGGTCTTCTGAGCTGATAACAATACACCCTGGTTTGCCACAGGGTTCTCCATTGTCTCCTATCCTCTTCAACATTTACACAGTCAAGATCACAGGAGAAAAACTGAGTGGCAGAGGAAGAACTCTGTCATATGCGGATGACATCCTTGTGTACTGACAGGGCAGGAACAGAGATGACATTGTTTCAAATCTACAACAGGAATTATATCGCATATCATCCTGATGCAACACCTCAGGAGCAACAATTAATCCGTCAAAAGCGACATTCACCTGGTTCTCGTTAAATAATCACCTTTCTAAAATACCTATGCCGATAGTAAAACTCTGTGGTGCTGATGTGGAGAGATCTGATTCCATGAAATACCTGGGTATAACATTTGACAGATGCTTAGCATTTTAAAAAACACGTAGACCACATTATAACCAAAGCCTAGAAAGGTAACTCCGTAATAAAATTTATTTGAGCTGCAAACTTTGAAAATCAGAAACAGACTGGAAAAACAACACTGGTTATGACTACGGAAAAGATTTTTTGAGGCACTTGAACAGAACAGACCAAGTCACAGTTTTTCGCTTACGCACTGGACACTGCAGACTCAATAAACACTCATATAAATTAGGTATGAGCCAAACAGCTCTCTGCCAGTGTCTTCGTGCTGAACAGACTCCAGAACATGTCCTGCAAGACTGTCCTCTCCTGGCGGAGCTGCGGAGCGACATATGGCAACACCCAGTAGAACTGACAACTAAGCTTTGGGGAAACCTAAGAGACCTTGAAAAGACATCCCAGTTTATGACCCACAGTGGATTATGCGCATGACCAGAGATCGCTGAAGAAGAAGAAGAAGAGCTGCAAACTTTGAGCAACGGTTACTTGTTATCTTGTATCGTGCATTAGTTTTGTCCACCATTGAATATGCCTTGGCCATCATGACACTCAGCACCATACAGATGAACAGACTGGAAAAAATTGAAAATGAGGTAATGCACATTATTCTTGGATGCACTAGAGACGCTTCCTGTAAATCCATGTGATACCTCTTGGATTTTCCCACAATGGAAAACAGAATCAAGCTATCCAGGGCTGTTGCTTTCCTCAAATTGAAATCAGACCATCGACACCCACTTTATGAGGAATTATTCAAGCAAAACAAGAGTAGACTCAAAGGAGGCAAATCCTGGATGGGTCAGGCTGAGGATGCCATCGAACATGTTTGCCGCCTTACTGACATTAATTTTGGAAATGAATGGATAATTATGCCTCACTCTCCAAACATTAATATTACAGTCCATTTCACACTTGATGGAAGCTGTAGAGAGCAGATTCCTGGCATTGTTGACACTTTAGTCAGAACACTGATTGACGAAAACACAGATGAAGGTGATGCTATAGTTTACACAGATGAGTCATAATTAGGGACAAGCAAAGTGCCCGGGCCTTTACAGTAAGCTCGAGGGGGAAAAAACCATCAAGGAGATGAATGGCGCCTTTGCTGTTACAATTAGTAAGTAGCCTTACAATGGAAACTATGGCTGTAACAAGGGCATTAACATGGCTTGGTTCTCAAATGTTCACACATGTATGCATTCTAAGTGACACGATGAATATGCTTTAAGAAATACAGGCTGGATTTATCAGACAAGAATGGATTGAAACACTAAGTACTTCACGAATATCTGTCCTAACCTTTATCTTTGTGCCAGGTCATGCAACGAGTTTGCAGACTATCTTGCTGACACTGCAGTTTCTATGGCTGGCCCAGTACTGGACAGAAGTGATGTTATCAATGCCATGCGCTGCACTTACTGTACCGAGGAGCACGCGAAAGGACATGACTCCATATCCCTGTCTAGACTGATGGACATGGGGGTGCAGCCTGGAGCTGCAAGAAAAGAACATTTCACTAAGAGGACAAGACATTTCATTAACCAACACAGAACAGGCGTCATCAGTCATTTTCCACTTGTGGAGCTTTTGAGGAGGAAATCGGAGCACCTATGGATCTGTCTGGAGTGCTGTGATGATAATCCTTTCTAATCACTAATCACACCAACAAATGATAAATAAGGGTTAATCAATTAAGGGGAAATTTTACATGTAGCTTCAAGGTACTCTAGATAATGAAAGAAATGGCAACGCTGTCTGTTTGATTCCTGGACTTCACTTAGCTCTATTGCCACATCTTTGATTATCAGCACAAAATGGCAGCTGATTTTACTTTAAGTCTGGTTTTATAAATTCAGCACAGAGAGTGTGTTTGTTTCCTTTCAGAGACTTATACAAACCTATGTGATTATATTTACCTTGTATCATCTAGCCATTGCATTATACTGTAGTTCCCTTTTGCCTGGTGCAGTGGATGTAAATTAATTTTGATTGTTACTTTGTGTTGATTGATTGATTATTAAATTCTAATACCTGTGTTTGTTATTTTATTGTGAATGGGAGGACTTAATTTGTTGTTTTTGCTAAGCAAAAGGTCGGACCTGTTCATCATCCGCCATTGCCAGCACCAACTGCTTCACCAGCAGCAGACCACCGTTCGTACCATCAGTCTCCTCGTCCTCAGGCGGAAACAACACCTTCCACTGGCCCACTTATTTCACTGCCACAACAGCAGCAGCAACAGCAGCCGCAACAGCAAAGTGGTCAGCCTGTGGAGTTTAACCATGCTATCAACTATGTGAACAAGATTAAGGTATTAGCAGTACTCTCTTTCCTGTTGTTGTTTTATGAGGATGATAAAGCATTGACTAACATTGCTGTTAGCATCTGCAGTTGACTCTTTTATTTCCCACTCATACATCTGGGGATTACCTTTATATATATATATATTCAGTCCTCCTAAGGTATCACCTCTTCACATATTAGCCAAGAAGAAATAATTTATTAGTATAAGGAGCTTCTCTATACCTCATTTCGGGTGCCAGCTTGATCTGTGCTGGTTTTACAGATCCTCCTGCAGGATTCCTGCACGCCAGGGATAATGGCAGAAAGGAGCATAAACCGAGCTGGCGAAGAATCTCAGAGTTGGTGGCTGCCAGAGATGTGGCGCCCAGAAATTCCCTGGCTTTCATCAACCTACCCCCCAATGCATGTGACAAATGTCTGTCAGGGCTCATTTGGAATATTAGTAGGATCTTTTGGCCGAATATACTAGTAAATGACAACACTTGGTTAAAGCGTCAGTCTAGAGACTTTTAAGACTCGACCCCGGACCAAAAGATTTGACACAAGGATCAGAGAGATCCAGAGCTGTAGATGTCCGTTCTCTCGCACAATGGAGCAGACCAGCTGTTCTCCCTTGAGAGCTTGGCCTAGAACTATGAGTATTTGTACCTAGATGGTGAAATGGGCAAGTCCCTTGATCAAAAAAACCCATCTATAGTTAAGACAGTTGTGTGTGACTGAAGAGGCACAAAACACAACAAGTCTAGAGACAACCTCGATAAAAAACACTAAGCTTGTGGTGTACCTACCTGCCTGTTGGCTGAATGGCAATGGAAAAAACTGTCGTAAACATGAAACATCTGGTTAGCGGGTGGAGTGGCACCAGGCATATGGGCTCCTTCAGGATAGTGGGCCTCTGCCCTAGCAAGATGGCAGTACTAGGGTGAATGTTTACTTCCTGCATTCACAAAATATTTTCTACGTATTTTGTACTTAATAATTTAAAAAAATCATCTCCGGAGCTACTGAGTATGTGCTCTGTGCTTGATACCATCTTTAGGTGGCAACGGAAAGCAGTGGAAGAGAAAATGAGGAATTAGAGAGAGAGGAGAAGGCATAGAAATAGAAGAGTGGGTGCCTGGAAAGTCATGCGAAGAACAGAGTGTCTGGGATTAAAGCATATAAAGGTGGGATGCTGGAATTGTCCTAGTGCCAAGCAGAGAGGACCTGTACTGGGGAGGCTGATTTATGACTTTGATGTCATCATGCTTCAGTAATAAAACCTAAATAAATATTCATACCCTAGATAATTAGTTATATAAATCCTACAGGACAGGAAAGGCATGGGCAATGTCTGCTGATGAAGAATTGGGTGAAGCATGTGGTTCTTGACCTGGGCCAGTGGAATCATAGTTCACTAAAGGTTCAGGGTATAAATATAGATAATGGAGGAACAACCTGGAATTTAGTAAATGTTTACGCTGCTGTTAAATCTCTTGTCACAAAGAACATTATGACTGGCTCAAAGAGTTGGCGGAAATCCCTGGTAATGGGCTTCTCATCTGTGAAGATTTCAATGCCAAGATTTCAATTTCCTTAAGCCATGCTCAATCTAGATTTCTAAAGCTAGCAAGATCAGGGCTGTGAGAACATGCAAGACTGTTAAGTGAGAGGGCCAGTATACTTCTTGAATGCCTTTGACAGAAGGTATACAGCAGAACCACCACTTCTGCTTTTGTGCAGTCTCCTTGTTGGACCCAAGAAGTAGAACATGCATGGAGAGCAAAGCGGGCAGCAGTTGAACAATTACAGAAAGTGCAAAAGGCACATTACAGGTTACAAGAGCATGTAGAGAAGCTAGAAAGAGAACAGAAAAAGTAGAGGAGTTTAAGTGGTGTGCAGCAGATGCAAAGAAGGCTAAATGGGATATTGGAGGGGATACATCACTGGGTAGGTTTTAGCAACTTCACAGACAGATGCAAAGAAGGCTAAATGGGATATTGGAGGGGATAAATCACTGGGTAGGTTTTAACAACTTCACAGTTAAATGCAAAGGAATGATTGGCTTTTCACAGCAGGCATTATATACACCAATAATGATATGCCAGTGGCAAGAGAGAAAAAGGAAGCATATTTTTAAGAGATTTATAGCTGAAATTGATCATACTGATAGTGAACTTAGAAATTTAGTTAGAAATAATCTGTCTTATACTTTAAATGATAATTATTTTCAGGATATCATTAGGGGGGAAGAATGTAAAATATATATTGCAAAAAAGCAAAAGATACAGCTTCAGTACCTCAGGATTGATTACACAGCTCCCTAATCCCACTTCCAGAACCAGGCAAAGATCATTTCAGGATTATCACCCTACAAAAAACTTTTGGCAAGATACTAGAGAAGCGTATTGCTGGTAAACTACAAATGTTTTGGACAACGAAGAACTCCTGCCAAAATTGTGGGTAGTTACTGGCCAAGAAAAGATATCTGTTCAAATGCAACTACTTTTGATGTTTATGAAGGGTTCCAGAATAGACATGAGATGGTAGTGGCAGCACTTTATCTTGAGGATGCCTACAGTAGAGTCAGATATGATATTTTAATATCTACGCTTATGGAGAAGGGAGCGTGTCCCTGGCTGGTGAACTTGATAGCAGCCGCCCTGCATTCACTTATAGGACAACTCCAAAGTTCTGCAATTTCACCAGTGCTCTTCGATTTGTATGCAAGCAAGACTGCATAACTTGAAGCACCAGGTGTTGAAAGGATATTAACCTTTGCAGACAATGTTCTTGCTTATAGGCAGGGGAGTGATAGGCGATGGATAGCCCAAGAGCTGCAGGCAACTGTAGACAAAGTGTGGAGAATTGGGTGTTGTCATAAACTCAGAAAAGGCAGCTGTTTTGTGGTGCTCTTTGGGCAATAGAATTTTAAGAGCTGATGTCCCAGGCCTCACAGTTAATAACAGTAATGTCAAAAGAGAAAGCAAACTGAGGTACCTGAGAATCAGTTTCAATAGAAGCCTGTCCTTTAGGGATTATGTGGAGGCGGTTGCAGTGAAATGCCAAAATGGACTCAATGTTCTCAAGATTATGGCTGCAGTGGACATGGAACAAAGAATGCTGTTCACAATGTTCCAGCATGTGATCTTGTCATTGATAGATTATGGTCTTGCAATGCTTATCATATCAAAGAGTTAGCTGATGAAACTTGAACGCATACAGAATGTACTTCTGGGATGTACAAAAGATACCTTGTTAATATGTATGCAGTATTACTTGCACTGCCTACTATTGCAGATTGGCTCAAAAGTTAGGCAGGCAAAGTCATAGAGTAGCAGCAGATAAAAAGCACCTCCTGCATGAAGCCCTAAGTAGAGCTAAGGGTCACAGACTGAAAAGAGGAAGATCTTGAATGGCTCAAACTGAAGACACTATTAGACACGTGTGCAGGCTTGACAAATTTGGGCAAGGTGAGGAGTGGGTCAAAGTGTCAAAGCAAGTTTCAGACTTACGTAGAGCTCTTATCACTTTAGGTTGTGAGTGCAGGAACTGGCAAGCTGGTGCTGCAGAATAAGCTGAACACAAATGCTGTGATTGTAACTGACTCACAGAGTATGTTTAGAAAAGTGGAAACCAGCATGCTCTGTGCAGAGTGGCAAGCGTTGCTTCAGAGGTCCCGGGTAGTTAGCGTCCTGTGTATATTTTCTCCAGCTAATGCTGGTGTATTGGGAAACGAGCAGGCAGGCAGACTGGCTGGTTCTGCACCATTTTATGGCTTTTGATGTATGTCAAGCTAGATGTTATGAGGGCCCTTTATGGAGCCAGTGAACAGTGCAGAGTCACAAATAGATCATTACAGTCTGAAGAGAAGGGGGCTGAGAGCAGTTACCAGGGAATCTGGTAGACATTCAGCACACAAGTGAAAGGCGAGACAGATTTACAATTAGACTACTGGTTACTGGTACCATCAGAATTTGAACTCTTCTTGCGTCTGAAGATGGGGACCGAGCGCTTTATGAGTGTGTTCCGAGTGCTATGATGTCTATTCCTAATTCAACATTCTAAGAGATTTGCTCACAGTTTAGACGAACAGTATGTGGGCGGCATCTCTCAGGGTACAGGCCTGTCTTCGTACATCCTTTGTTGACCCTCAGCTTTGTCGCCACAGTGTTGAGGTACACCATGACAATCTGCCGCTGCCAGTCAGCTCAAATGTCTGTCAGAAACATGGACTATGGCATAACATCAAATTCTCACATGTCTGACCATCAAAAATCCTACTTTTTAGCAGAAAGATTCAGATGTCCCTTACCATCGGCCCCACTCGTCTGAGTGTCGGAACCACTTAGGCAGAGCCATGCCTGATGCATGCTTTCCCATACCGTCATGCTAAGTGTCATGATGAAACAATGTTAAATGTGTAGCGTACTAGAGAGGATTGTACCTGTTTGTGTTGTCATCAAAGTTCTCGATCTGTAGGCTGCTGTCTGCTGATTATCTAGAGAGTGCAGCCTGTGATGAGTGGGAAGCTCAACATACGGACCTGAGGTTATTAAGTCTATGTAGGAGATAATTCCTTGGGTGAATTCAGGATCAGAGCACTTATTGCCAGTTCTGCATTTATGGAAGCCTCCTTGGATGGCAGGGAATGCCCATAATCTGCTCCCACCTTCCTTTGAAGGCCAACCAGTCTACAGGCGGTTCCCTGGATGAGTTCTTCAGGAACAACACCTGTAGATAAGGGGACAAAGACAAGGCCACACAAATAAGGCTATGTCATGCCCCTAGGCCACACAAATAAGGCTACGTCCTGTCCAAAGGCCACACAAATAAGGCTACGTCCTGTCCAAAGGCCACACAAATAAGGCTACGTCCTGTCCAAAGGCCACACAAATAAATCTTATGTCATGCCACTAGGCCACACAAATAAGGCTACGTCCTGTCCAAAGGCCACACAAATAAGGCTACGTCCTGTCCAAAGGCCACACAAATAAATCTATGTCATGCCCCTAGGCCACACAAATAAGGCTATGTCCTGTCCAAAGGCCACACAAATAAGGCTACGTCCTGTCCAAAGGCCACACAAATAAATCTGTGTCATGCCCCTAGGCCACACAAATAAGGCTACGTCCTGTCCAAAGGCCACACAAATAAATCTATGTCATGTCCCAAGGCCACAGAAATAAATCTTTCATGTCCCACAAAACTATTCAGGAATTTGACCCAGTCAGCAAATACTCGATGAAGTTGAATGTGTCAGCTGAAAGGCGCAGATATCGCAGCTTTGCTGTAAACATTCACAACACAATTACATCACTTGGACAAACTAAAAAAAAGTATCATTTTTATTGATCATGGGGTGTAACGTGGTATCCTCAGGGTCATTGTTATAATTAGGTGTTCATCATATGACTTGACCAAAGTCATAATTATCTCAGAATCATCCTCGTCATTATCAGGTGCCATTAACGCATTGAATTTTTTGTAAACTAGTGCATACCAGTTACCTTAAAATGTGTGACCTAGTCATTACTTCTTTAATTCCATATGGTCGTTACTTTATGCGTGTTGGGAGACTAGACCCACTGAATGGGAGTTGGGAGATTATAGGGTTACTTTATGCATGGTAAGAGACTAGACCCACTGTATGGGAAATGGGAGGTTAGACCCACTGTCTGGGTGGTGTGAGACTAAAGCCACTGTCTTAGTGGTGGATGACTAGATCCACTGTCTGGGTGGTGTGAGACTAGAGCCACTGTCTGGGTGTTGGGAGAGTAGAGCCACTGTCTGGGTGGTGTGAGACTAGAGCCACTGTCTGGGTGTTGGGAGAGTAGAGCCACTGTCTGGGTGGTGTGAGACTAGAGCCACTGTCTGGGTGGTGTGAGACTAAAGCCACTGTCTAAGTGGTGGATGACTAGATCCACTGTCTGGGTGTTGGGAGAGTAGAGCCACTGTCTTAGTGGTGGATGACTAGATCCACTGTCTGGGTGTTGGGAGAGTAGAGCCACTGTCTGGGTGGTGTGAGACTAGAGCCACTGTCTAAGTGGTGGATGACTAGATCCACTGTCTGGGTGTTGGGAGAGTAGAGCCACTGTCTGGGTGGTGGATGACTAGATCCACTGTCTGGGTGTTGGGAGAGTAGAGCCACTGTCTAAGTGGTGGATGACTAGATCCACTGTCTGGGTGTTGGGAGAGTAGAGCCACTGTCTGGGTGGTGTGAGACTAGAGCCACTGTCTGGGTGTTGGGAGAGTAGAGCCACTGTCTGGGTGTTGGGAGAGTAGAGCTACTGTCTGGGTGGTGTGAGACTAAAGCCACTGTCTAAGTGGTGGATGACTAGATCCACTGTCTGGGTGTTGGGAGAGTAGAGCCACTGTCTGGGTGGTGTGAGACTAGATCCACTGTCTAGGTGGTGTGAGACTAAAGCCACTGTCTAAGTGGTGGAAGACTAGATTCACTGTCTGGGTGGTGGGAGACTAGAGCCACTGTCTGGGTGTTGGGAGAGTAGAGCCACTGTCTGGGTGTTAAGAGAGTAGAGCCACTGTCTGGGTAGTGGAAGACTAGACCCGCTGTCTGGGTGGTGGGAGAGTAGAGCCACTGTCTGGGTATTAGAAAAGTAGAGCCACTGTCTGGGTGGTTGGAGACTAGAGCCACTGTCTGGGTGGTGGGAGACTAGAGCCACTGTCTGGGTGGTGGGAGACTAGAGCCACTGTCTGGGTGGTGGGAGACTAGAGCCACTGTCTGGGTGTTGGGAGACTAGATCCACTGTCTGGGTGTTGGGAGAGTAGAGCCACTGTCTGGGTGGTGGGAGACTAGAGCCACTGTCTGGGTGGTGGGAGACTAGAGCCACTGTCTGGGTGGTGGGAGACTAGAGCCACAGTCTGGGTGGTGGGAGACTAGACCCACTGTCTGGGTGGTGTGAGACTAGAGCCACTGTTGGGTGGTGTGAGACTAGAGCCACTGTTTGGGTGGTGGGAGACTAGACCCACTGTCTGGGTGGTGTGAGACTAGACCCACTGTCTGGGTGGTGGAAGACTAGACCCACTGTCTGGGTGGTGGAAGACTAGAGCCACTGTCTGGGTGGTGGGAGACTAGAGCCCACTGTCTGGGTGGTGGGAGACTAGACCCACTGTCAGCTAACAAGCAGGTGATAAAAGACAGTTGATTAGGAATGTGATGTATTGAACTGAAGGGGGCTAATATCACAGCCTAGCTATAAACCACATCAGAGCTTTAAACCTCATTACAGCTTGCAATCTGCCCTTCTGTGGTTAATCATAGCAGAAGAAATATATGTCTGATGGTGCCATTGGGAAGAGAGTTGTAATTGTGACGAAAAGAAGTGCCCAGTACAGATAAAGTAGAAAATACAAACACTGATACACACTCTTGAAATGGCATTGTTGATTTTAGTGTTGAGACACATGCCAAGTAAGCTGCTGACATGCAGCCGTCTGATGGAATGTACTGTAGTGTATATTCTTGTTCATGTTGGCTGTGTGGTCTCGGGCATAGCGTCCACCTCGAGTTCTGGAAGTCCAGGTGAAGGCTGGGATTTTGTCATGTGGACTTCTAGTAATTTCCCTCTGGTCGCTCAGTAATTATATCGGATGCCCATGTGTATTGTTGCGCACGTAAAAAAAGCCTCGCCAGTTGGAAATTGAAAAGAGTTGAAAAATGTACTCAAAGTATTTCAGGTTTCTCATTGGTGCTACAGAGCTCATGCAGTGCACTGAGAATGTCTGACTCAGGCTTAGAAGTAGAACAGAGCACTTATGGGTTGCTATCCTTGTGTTGATCCATTGTTTAAACCTAAAACCTGTGTTCTTGTTGTTTAGAATCGGTTCCAAGGTCAACCAGACATATACAAACAGTTCCTGGAGATTCTTCATACATACCAGAAGGAACAGAGACTGACTAAAGACGTAAGTGTATGTGCCTTTATAGTACTTCTATAATTAGTTGATGCATTTTACACTATAGGGGTGTGTTTTATGTCCTTACACACTACTTCCACACATTACACACTGTAGGGATGTGTATGTGTCCTTCACCCTACCAGACCTAAGGCCCTGAACCTAACTGTCCCCTATACTTGTGCATTAACGTGAAAAACCCAATGTGATGTTACAAAAATATTAGTTACATGCAAACAAGTGGTTAGAATAAGATTAAACTTGGAGACCTTGTAGAAAATAGGGTTATCTTTCATCTAGCGCCAATATTCCACATTTATGTGCCAATCCACCCAGCAGGTACAGCGTTGTTTCACAAAGTGAGAGCCAGATGTTGCTGTTTGAGGGACACGCTCCCCTTTCTCTTACTATCCATCTAATTCTAGATCTATAAGGTTCAAGATTCTCCTCATCACTGGAGCTCTCACTGTCTCGGTCACTTGAATTGAGAACCTATTCTTAATGAAATTCTGACTTCTCAGAGTCTGAATCAACCAAAGTATTGATCTCCTCTTGGACTATGAAAAGCCTAGACCTACTTCACTTCTCTGTCGAAGTGCTTGGTTCATTGTGAATTTTTAGAACTTTTTCACGTTAAACCACACAAAGTAAAAATCCAAACACTTGGGGGCAGCCATTTGTATTGACTAACAGTGAGGTTTGACCACGATTGATTGGTTATTTTTAGTTTGTGGCGTGTTTTATCACGTAGTATGCAAAGCTCCAAAAATTAGGCACAGCAGTTGATCTGCAGATTAGGAAATTCCAGGAAAAGCGGTACAGCTGTCTGGTAGAGTTAAAAAATACTTCCACACATTTACACACTACAGGGATGTGTGTGTCCTTACACAGTACCTCAACACTTCACACACTGAAGGGATGTGTTTCTGTTCTTACACAGTAATACCATACTTTACACACTGTATGGATGTATTTGTATTCTTAAACAATACTTCCACACTTTACACACTGTAGGGGTGTGTTTGTGTCCTTAAACAGTACTTTCACACTTCACACACTGTTGTGTTTGTGTCCTTACACAATACCTTCCGTGCTTTACACACTGAAGGGATGTGTTTGTCTCCTTACACAGTCCTTCCATACATTACAGTTTTCTATACAATACACAGTGTTTTTGTACTTAACACTAGAAATGTGCTGTCTCCTTACACTTTACACACTGAAGGGATGTGTTTGTGTCCTTACACAGTACTTCAATAAATTACACAGTGTAGAGATATGTTTGTGTCTTATGCAGTACTTCCATACATTGCACAATATTTATATGCAGTACACAGTACTTCCATACACTACACAATATTTATATGCAGTACACAGTACTTCAATACATAACACACTGTAGAAATGCGTTTGTCTCCTTACACAGTACTTCCATACCTTACACACTAGAAATGTGTTTGCCTACACAGTCCTCCCATACATTACACAATGTGTCAGCTCTGCATTTATGGCTCTAGTCTCCCACCACTGCTTGGTTGCCCAGTGCTTCTGTACATTACACAGTATTTCCATACATTACACACTGTAAACTAGAAATGTGTTTGTGTCCTTACAAAGCACTTCCATACATTACATATTACTTTCATACATCACAAACAGTAGAAATAGATTTGTGTCCTTAGAGAGTACTTCCATGACTAGTTAATACAATGCACACTGTAGTGAGGAAGGGGGTCCTTTAATTGTTCTTTGACACTTGACTCTGTGTGTGCAGGGAGCACCCTCTTGTCCTAGCAAGCCTCTGACTGAAAGTGAAGTCTACCAGCAAGTGGCAAACTTGTTCAAACATCAGGAGGACCTGCTGGCAGAGTTTGGTCAGTTCCTGCCTGATGCTAATGGAGCTTCCAGTTATGGTGTAGCTTCGTTTGTAAGTATTTCCTCTAGCTTGTTGTAGTCAGTGACCTGTTATTTACTTGGTGTCAGAATTTATCAGTCAGTATGTTTACAGCATGGAGATACAAAACATAGGAGTGACTGCAGGCAAGCTGAATATTTGTATTTGCTTATCCTTTAGGGGGAACTGCAGACCCAGTACCACCATATTTTAGTTGTTGTGTTTCTAGGGAAATTTACATACATTAGCTTTACCATTGTTGGAATTAGTGCAAGGCGGTCTGCTGCCAAATGTGCCTGCAGCTGGGGTCAAACCCAGCATTACAGAGTGCGATCGCAATGCCTAAGCAACAGATGTAGACTTTTTCACAGTGCCATTGATATCAAGATATTGCTAAGCGCCAGACAGACTACAAAGCTCAGCCTTATGATTGTTTTTTGGCTTGTGATTTTTTTTTTGTTGATAATGAATTGGGTTGAAAAGTTTGCTTGTGCTTGTGCAGATATTTTTCTTTACATCCATCTCTCAGCAGCCTGGACATAGTTTATGTTAAGTTTGTTCAGAAACTGACACAATTTAGCAGGCCAATAGACAGATTGAAACATTGTTTTATTCAAGAAATTTAATTTTATGTTTAGATACCATCTACTAGTTGATTGTTAATGTCTCCATATTGGATATCTTTCTGTTATTACTACTCTTAGTTTTTTTTTTTTTTTTTTTTTAATCTATGTGTATTGTCTTACATTGTATTTTTTTTTTTTTTTTATGTAGTGCACCCCTTTTCCGATGCCCAGTTCTTAACCGTTTGAAAACAAAAATTGTTGTTTATTTGTTCAGTGTGTGTTTGTGTGTGAGTAGAAAGTCGTCTCCACAATGATAGTTGGCTGTGGTGGATGTGTGCATCCATTGTTTTCTTTAAAACTATGTGGTGAGGTTTAGTTTCTTCCACAGTGTGACTCTCACAACACCACTGTTTGACCATATATTATCTGTTACATGTGTGAACATGATAGAGAAAGGTGGGAGGTGAGTGTTGTTTTATTGCATACAATACATTTTATCTGTTAATGGACTGGCAGGGATATTTGTTAAAAGTGATTATGTCAGCTTCTGACTGTAAATAACTAAATGCAGTATTCATTCAGGTCATACTGATTATTTTTGTGGAGGGGTTGATGAGTGATGACCATTTGCAGACTTAAGTCTTTTATCCATTTTCTGCTTTTTGTCACTGGGCCTCACAGGTTAACAGCTGATCTGTGTCCGAGATAGGACACGCTCGGTTGCCCAGTATGTTGTGTGCTGTCTCAAGATATCAGTGACTCCTTTAAAGCTAAATTTTTCTTGGTCGTCGACTAGCTCTTGGTGTTTCTGATTTCATGTTGTACGCTGTCGTTGCTGGCATCATTGATATTAATTTTCATTAAATGGCCAAGCTAGTTCAGTTTTTGTTTCTCAGTGAATTTATGTATAGCTGTTGTTCAATAGTTCTTGTAATTTATTTGTTTCTTACATGATCTCTTCTAGTTTTGCTCACAACCTTTCTCAGACATCCCATTTAGCAGAAAAAGAGTTTAGCAGTTCTGTCTCCTTCTGCGTGGCTTAGACTAAACAAAGCCTCCATCTTGTTTGCTAGTGTTTATATTATATTGACAAAATAGAGTTAATTTGGATCCTGTAGTTGTCTCCTGCCCTTTGAAATCATACAGAATGTATAGCTCAATATTTATGTTGTACAGATTTGGTAGCTGTAACATTTGTTTTCTATATTCTAGGTCACTTTTCATATTTTGCCAGAACAGCAACTTTTATGGTCTAATCTGTATGATTCCTGGTTGCCAAGGGATTAATATGTTTACATGTTACCTCAGTATTTGGCCCATATCTGAAAATAAGGCATCAGATCCACTACCCAGAGATTTAGAGTCATATCAGATTTCTGTATGGAGTTTGTTCTGCATATTTTATCTTTGGGTTGATTTGAACCCTGCATTAATTTTCTTTCTGTTTGGGTGGCCCGAGCCATATCTGATTTAAAGACAAAAACCGTGAAAGTCAACTTGACACATGACTAGATGATAAAATGTGCTTGTAGTGTTCTCTTGTTTAAAATAGTGCAGTTGTTTGGATCTCAGGCTGATTCGGCTCTGGGTGTTCGCAATGATCACTCATCCACTGTCAAGAAGTCTGGATACTCCAGTGGGAAAACACAGACCAGCAAGTCGTCCTGGGTTGGGAATCAAACGGCCGGCAGCTTCAGCGTCATCAGCATCCTTGTTTCAGCCTCCTATCAAGGTATAGATAAAGATGAAACATCATGTTTTAGATCATAAATAAATAATGTCATTGTCAGTGTTTTGTGAAATTGCTTGTTGACTTTCCACTTATTGTTAATTGTCACTTTCTATCTGAAGCTGTCACAGTAACAGTAATGTTAATCATTGTTTTATATCTGAAATTAGTGAGTAAACAGTACGGAGGCACAAATAGATCACCACAGCCTGAAGAGAATGGTGCTGCAAGGAGTGACCAGGGGAGTCAGGCCCAACACTGAACACCCAGGGGAAGGGTGAGATGACCATACAATCAGACTGTTACTGGTGCCAGCAGAATTGGAACTCTCCACTTGCTGCTGAAGATGATGACAGAGTGCTTATGGGAATGTTCCGAGTGCTGTGATGTTGGTTCTTAACGCATAACTCTTCACTTATCAGAAACTTTAATTGTTTATCTTTCTGCAAATAAATCTTTAAATTACCACTTATTAGTTTTGTGAAAATGGCTCTCTGTGTTTTGTATTGAGATTTATGAAGCTTGTGAACTGTTTTATCTAAAGAAGGTAAACTGGTTCCCAACTGATGGTTGTCTAACAGATAGGTTTGCTGAGGTGATCATGACTGTTTACATTGAACCAGAAATGACAGCTGGACTGACTAAATTGTATCTGTGCATGTTGCCATATGACATAATCACAATAGGTATAAAGGGTAGTCAAAGGCTAAAGAAAACACACCTACACAGAACTGCGACTTGAGATTGGAAGGACTGGAACAAGGTACTGCAACCATGTCCTAGATGTTGGCATAGTTGACTCTTAAATCTAACCAGTTAAACAGTGGAAACTGTCCTCTTCCTGACATGAACAAGGTGACCACACCTCTTTCCTTTCACAGCTTGCAGGCAAAATATATTGACCTGCGAGGCCTAAACTCGGTTGTCAACTTTCTAATAGTGATCAGCTTTATTTGACTAACAAGTTTAGAAGTGAGAGTATCTTCTTTTTTTTTTCATTTCATTCCCCCAAGGGACATAATTGTGTTGTGCCTTTTTGCTTCATAGCTGCAGTATTTACACTTTTCAGCCGATACATCTAACTCCATCAAGCATTTGTTCACCAGGTTAGCCTTCTCGGATGGTTTTGTGGGGCGTGATATAGCTTTATTTATGTGATGTCTTCTTTGTCCCTAATCTACCGATGCCCCTAGAGAACCCGTCCAGGATAACCTTGTGTAGACTGGTCTGCTCTCAAGGGAAGGCAGGGGCAGAACATGAGCATTCCCTGTCATCTAAGGAGGCTTGCTTAAATGCCTGTCATCTGATCTGATTGTATCCACACACAAAAATTTTAACTTTGAACAGCCTCTTTATGAAATAAGCTTATGGTTATAATTGTGGAACTATTTTTCTTGCCCCATGTTTAATGTCCAGAAAGCAGGGACAAACTACTGGACATAAATTTGCCCAGAAAAAACACAAAAGAGCAAAAAACAAACAAAAAAAATGCTGGAATTGGTTCTGAAACATCCAGTAAAGGATACACAACTAACTTTTTAAAAACAGTTTTAATGGCTGAAATTGGGTTTTTGTGTGTGTGCCCTTATTAATGGCTTAGTGTCCAATCCCCATCTTTATCTTATGATTGTCTTCCCGGTATATTGGTACTGCTTAGGGTCCATTATGTTGGTCCATGTCATTGTTTGAATTGTTACTTTGCTGTAATTGTATGTATATGTCACTTCTTGTTATATCTTTTTGAAAGGTATGGTTCAGTGATTATCTGTTTATGATCTTGCTTGTTAGATAATGCTTATTGTGAGAGCATCAACTTTGTGGCACTGGGTGTTGTCCCAAATGGCTTCATTGTCTCACAACAATCATTAGCCATTTGCTGAGAGTATTGCACAAAACATGAACTTCTTAGCTCTAGCCACAATTCCCTTGGATCTCACAAAAAATATCTGCATGCATAAACCAGCTGTTATCTTAAAGTGAAACTATAACTTTCAGAAAACTACAGAGATCAACTGACTGGTTAGAGACACCCAGAAATTAGCATGAGGCCAAGTTTATCTAGAATTACATTTTCTACTTTTGCAAACAGCTTTTTATTCCTGAATTTCTAGACTGGAAGTGTTTCCTTCAGTTATCTAACAACCTAAAAACTATTGTTTGTTTTAATATCGTTTACGCTGTAAGTATGAGGAAGTTATTTACTGTCTGTAATCTTCGCAGTTTGTGATAGGGATAGCTAGAGAGTGGTTTTATTTGTAATTAAACAATCTTGATACTGTTGTTAATGTGCTTGCCTGCTATACAGTGTTATTATAGTGGTTAGTGTGCCTGCCTGCTTAGACAGGGTTTCATTTATAATTAAAGTGTTATTATAGTGGTTAGTAAGCTTGCTGGCTTAGACAGGGTTTTATTTACAACCAAAGTGTTATTACAGTGGTTAGTGTGTTTGTCTGCTGAGACAGGATTTTATTTATTACTAAACAGTGTTATTACAGTGGTTAGTGTGTTTGTCTGCTGAGACAGGATTTTATTTATTACTAAACAGTGTTATTATAGTGGTTAGTGTGTTTGTCTGCTGAGACAGGATTTTATTTATTACTAAACAGTGTTATTATAGTGGTTAGTGTGCTTGTCTGCTGAGACAGGATTTTATTTATTACTAAACAGTGTTATTATAGTGGTTAGTGTGTTTGTCTGCTGAGACAGGATTTTATTTATTACTAAACAGTGTTATTATAGTGGTTAGTGTGATTGCCTGCTGGGACATTGGTTTCATTTAAAATTAAACAGTGATTAGTGTGCTTGTTTGCTGAGACATTAGTGTCATTTAGAATTAGGGTTATTACAGTGATTAGTGTGATTGCCTGATGGGACAAGGTTTCATTTATAATTACACTGTGGTAATGCAGGCAACTTGGAGCATCAGCGGAGAAGCTGATTGATAGAGAGATAGAAGCTAGAGTACAGAAGGCAAATCTGTCACCAACTAGTCAGTCCCACTGCATAGACACCCAAATGTCTCTCTTCCAGTAAAGGATTTATAGCATCATTATCCCTACTTTATGTTATCAGTGCTAAACATGGACAATGAATAGGACACTAGAACAGAAAATAACTACATGTGAAATGCCCTGTCTCCGCGAGGTCATTAACAACACCAGGCGAGACAGGGTTACGAACACCAGCATTAGAGAGAAAGTTGAAATAAGGCCATGTCTAGATTATATTGACAGACAAAGAATGAAATGGTTCAGCCATCTAGTGAGAATGCAGCCACACCAGACTGCATATGAGACTTCACAGTAAAATATCTGGGAGGAAGGCGACAGGAAGACCAAGAAAGAGATGGATAAATGGTGTAGCTGAAACCTTCAAAAAGATGAACAAATCCATCACCCAAGCTACCTGAGAAGCCCAAGACAAATACAGAAAATCACGACACTGGGCAGCAACCTGGTATCAGCGAGACGACAAAAGAAGAAGACTGCAGTGGTTTGTATGCTTGCCTGCTGAGATAGGAGACAAGGTTCAGATCATTAAAGTATAACCATTTCTTCTGACCAGTACAGCTCAGGGATCAAGCCAGCCTCATAGAAATGAGTGCAACTTTTCACAGTTGTCAAGGGAGGAAAGGTGATGAGTAGAGGAACTGGTCACTCCATCCTAAATTGTATGGCCTAGAACAGGGCTAATCAGCTAATTTTACTGAGGGGCCAACATTTTGAAAATGGGGATGTTCACGGGAAGCCAGAGTCCAAGTATATAAAGCTTATTATTTCAATACAGTTGAAAGTGATCTACGGGCCACTTGTTAGGCCTTCACAGATCAGATCTGGCCTGTGGGCCACCAGTTGAATAGTCCCGCCCTAGAATATGTGAAAGCCTAACGCTTCATATCCCAGTGACAATATCTCCTGCGGGCTACCTGTAATCTATAGACATGCCCTGCCTTAACAGGGAAGCAAAGAAGCAGAACACTGAATGTCTAGGTTTGTCTAAGTGATGGCCAAGAAAAGGTGGCTTGAGACTGACAACCTCATCCCATAAATAACTAGCTGCAAAATCCAGCTAGTCAGGAGCAGGTCTACAAAAGGTCTGGCACGGGTTGAAGACCTGTGTTTCATTGGGAGATAAATGGCAAAATAAGATTATGTCAGTAGTAAACATATTTATAATACAAGATATAGAACTTATTAATGTTGTTTTCACTTGCAGAAAAAAGGTGTACCAAAGGATTTCAGTTTGGCTGATGCAAGCAAGACTGGATCCCTAACTGAATATGCTTTCTTTGATAAGGTATGTTAGCTGAAATATGTCTGAAGTGTGTGCAGTGGAGATTTCATTCTTGACTGTTTTCTGCCATTCCATGAAGGGATTTCTGAGCTGTTGTTATATTGAGAGTACTAAAGTATTTTTGTGAAATTGCTTGTGCCTTCAGTGATGATCTGTTTGATAACTAAAAATGATTTGCTTCTTACAAGTTGATTACAGTGTAGTAAAGTGTAAGTATAGCACCTTCTTCCTGCTAGTAGTGCAATTCGATGGATGAGGTCTACATCCCGCTGGCTGCCTTTACTTCCCTTACTTCCCGGATAACTGCCTAAATCAGCCTTAAAGCGAGCTAGCAAGGGATCTTGTAGTTCCCCCCCCCCCCCCCCCCCAAAAAAATACTGTGCCTCTAGCATTGGGCAGCCTACCCCCTGTGCGTGGGTGGTCATGTCCATGGATGTGGTGGCAAGGAGTACATGTAACGGTTGTAATCGCCGCTTCCACTTTCTATTTCCAAAGATTAATTATTACTGTTTGCTATTTATTACCAAAACCCCACTTTGTTTGCATTTCGAACATTGCAAAAAGAATGCTCGCTGCATGCCTATGCCACTTATGCAGCAACTATCAACTGGCATGGTCATTGTTTCTAGTTGTGGCAAGTTTTTGGTTACGACAGACGGTGGCCATTTCATTTTCCTCTATTTGTTACTCTGAAAGGATATCGTTTTGTGGTTTTTCATTGACACAGGAGTGGAGCAACTATGGGGTGACCTGTTTTCTATAAAGCGAAAACTAAGTTTGGCAAACTTCTTAACAATGCTTGCTGCATGCCAACACCTCATGTAGAAATTGTTAACATTTCAAGCTATCGGTTACTAGTACTACAATGCTATTGTTGAGGATAATATCACATGATACCCTCTCCAGTGCAATTATTACCTGACACATGAGTGAATTGATCATGCCTCGCTACTGTTGCAGTGTTGTCTATGTTCAGACTATCACTTTCTTTAATTTGCCACAAGACCCTACATTTTATTTATTGTTTAATAACAGAGATGTACAGAACCTATATAAGAGACATATTAAATGTGTACATACATTTTGTAATAATTTTTCACTGAAAGCTTTGTGTGGGGAGGAAAGGAAGGAAGGAGACAGCATAATGGAGCAATCACTAGTGGTGCAGTGATTTCGGTTGAAGGCCTGAGACAAAGTTAAGGCTGTTTTGATGTGTATAAGGAGATACAACAGTACCTCACCTCTGGTGCCAGCAGGCGCTGGGCTGGTTGTACGGATCCTCATACAATCCCCCCCTTCCCCTCTCCACACACACACACACACAGACACACACATCTACGTCATGCGCTGTGGATAATCACCTGTATCTACTTAGAGCGAGCTGGCAGAGAATCTTGGAGTTGTGACCCTCCAAAGATGCTGCCCAGAAGTCCTCTACCACTTTTCAGGCTACCCAGTGTGCATGTGTGATAACCTCCTTGGAAAACTCATTCAGACATGATGAGAAAAGTCAGCTGGCCGGGTACGCTACTAAATGACAAATTCAGGTTCAAATGTCTGTTGTCCATAAGTCCTACTCTATGACAAACCTGGGTTCAGATCTTCATCCATCGATGATGCTTTACTGTTGTTATGAGAGTAATGTTTGAACGCAGCCATTATAAATTACAAACATCTGACAAATAACAAATATTATGTTTGCAGTATAACAAGATGGTTTGAAGCTGATAAACAAGAAGATTAAAATAAATTCAAGCAGAAACAGGATTTAGCCTGTCCAAGTACAAATCTCTATAGTGTAGTAGTAATAATATAGGGGACCATCCACAAAAACTCTCAAACAAACTTTTATTGAAGGGAGAGGCCAATGGTGCTGGACTGGATTCCATCCACAATATTAACTTTATTGTACAGGAAAGAAAGAAATGGAGGAGTAGGCTGTGAGCCGTATTTGACATGATGGCACAAAAGAGCAGTGAATGAATAGTGACTAGAGCACCGCTCACCTGCTGGTTCAGTGGCAGTGGATTCAAACCCTCTGTGCAGTAGGATGCTGTTGTGTGATAACCTGGCATTGGAGTATGTTTATCCACAGAACATTGGGTAGGCGAGGGGGGGGGGGGGGGGGGGTCATTCAGTAGGAAACCATAGTCACTACATCAGGAACATATTCTTTGTCATTCAGGTAGGAAACTGTAGTCACTACTTCAGGAACATATTCTTTGTCGTTCGTATAGGAAACTGTAGTCACTACTTCAGGAACATATTCTTGGTCGTTCATATAGGAAACTGTAGTCACTACTTCAGGAACATATTCTTTGTCGTTCATATAGGAAACTGTAGTCACTACTTCAGGAACATATTCTTTGTCTTTCGTATAGGAAACTGTAGTCACTACTTCAGGAACATATTCTTGGTCGTTTTTATAGGAAACTGTAGTCACTACTTCAGGAACATATTCTTTGTCGTTCAGGTAGGAATCTGTAGTCACTACTTCAGGAACATATTCTTTGTTGTTCGTATAGGAAACTGTAGTCACTACTTCAGGAACATATTCTTTGTCGTTCGTATAGGAAACTGTAGTCACTACTTCAGGAACATATTCTTTGTCGTTCGTATAGGAAACTGTAGTCACTACTTCAGGAACATATTCTTTGTCGTTCGTATAGGAAACTGTAGTCACTACTTCAGGAACATATTCTTTGTCGTTCGTATAGGAAACTGTAGTCACTACTTCAGGAACATATTCTTTGTCGTTCATATAGGAAACTGTAGTCACTACTTCAGGAACATATTCTTTGTCGTTCGTATAGGAAACTGTAGTCACTACTTCAGGAACATATTCTTTGTCGTTCGTATAGGAAACTTTAGTCACTACTTCAGGAACATATTCTTTGTCTTTCGTATAGGAAACTTGTAGTCACTACTTCAGGAACATATTCTTTGTCATTCATATAGGAAACTGTAGTCACTACTTCAGGAACATATTCTTTGTCGTTCGTATAGGAAACTGTAGTCACTACTTCAGGAACATATTCTTTGTCGTTCATATAGGAAACTGTAGTCACTACTTCAGGAACATATTCTTTGTCGTTCATATAGGAAACTAGTCACTACTTCAGGAACATATTCTTTGTCGTTCGTATAGGAAACTGTAGTCACTACTTCAGGAACATATTCTTTGTCGTTCGTATAGGAAACTGTAGTCACTACTTCAGGAACATATTCTTGGTCGTTCGTATAGAAAACTGTAGTCACTACTTCAGGATAGGGAAACTGTAGTCACTACTTCAGGAACATATTCTTTGTCGTTCGTATAGGAAACTGTAGTCACTACTTCAGGAACATATTCTTGGTCGTTCGTATAGAAAACTGTAGTCACTACTTCAGGAACATGTTTTTTGTCATTCAAGTAGGAAACTGTAGTCACTACTTCAGGAACATATTTTTTGTTGTTCGTATAGGAAACTGTAGTCACTACTTCAGGAACATATTCTTTGTCGTTCGTATAGGAAACTGTAGTCAACTGTCAGGAACTATTCTTTGTCAGGAACATACTTCTTTCTTTGTCGTTCGTTCGTATAGGAAAATGTAGTCACTACTTCAGGAACATATTCTTTGTCGTTCACTGTAGTCACTACTTCAGGAACATATTCTTTGTCGTTCAGGAAACTGTAGTCACTACTTCAGGAACATATTCTTTGTCGTTCGTATAGGAAACTGTAGTCACTACTTCAGGAACATATTCTTTGTCAACGTATAGGAAACTGTAGTCACTACTTCAGGAACATATTCTTTGTCGTTTCGTATATAGAAACTGTAGTCACTACTTCAGGAACATATTCTTTGTCGTTCGTATAGGAAACTGTAGTCACTACTTCAGGAACATATTCTTTGTCGTTCGTATAGGAAACTGTAGTCACTACTTCAGGAACATATTCTTTGTCGTTCATATAGGAAACTGTAGTCACTACTTCAGGAACATATTCTTTGTCGTTCTATTGTAGTCACTACTTCAGGAACATATTCTTTGTCGTTCATATAGGAAACTGTAGTCACTACTTCAGGAACATATTCTTTGTCGTTCGTATAGGAAACTGTAGTCACTACTTCAGGAACATATTCTTTGTCGTTCGTATAGGAAACTGTAGTCACTACTTCAGGAACATATTCTTTGTCGTTCGTATAGGAAACTGTAGTCACTACTTCAGGAACATATTCTTTGTCGTTCGTATAGGAAACTGTAGTCACTACTTCAGGAACATATTCTTTGTCGTTCGTATAGGAAACTGTAGTCACTACTTCAGGAACATATTCTTTGTCGTTCGTATAGGAAACTGTAGTCACTACTTCAGGAACATATTCTTTGTCGTTCGTATAGGAAACTGTAGTCACTACTTCAGGAACATATTCTTTGTCGTTCGTATAGGAAACTGTAGTCACTACTTCAGGAACATATTCTTTGTCGTTCGTATAGGAAACTGTAGTCACTACTTCAGGAACATATTCTTTGTCGTTCGTATAGGAAACTGTAGTCACTACTTCAGGAACATATTCTTTGTCGTTCGTATAGGAAACTGTAGTCACTACTTCAGGAACATATTCTTGTCGTTCGTATTGTAGTCACTATAGGAAAACTGTAGTCACTACTTCAGGAACATATTCTTTGTCGTTCGTATAGGAAACTGTAGTCACTACTTCAGGAACATATTCTTTGTCGTTCGTATAGGAAACTGTAGTCACTACTTCAGGAACATATTCTTTGTCGTTCGTATAGGAAACTGTAGTCACTACTTCAGGAACATATTCTTTGTCGTTCGTATAGGAAACTGTAGTCACTACTTCAGGAACATATTCTTTGTCGTTTGTATAGGAAACTGTAGTCACTACTTCAGGAACATATTCTTTGTCGTTTATAGGAAACTGTATAGGAAACTGTAGTCACTACTTCAGGAACATATTCTTTTCTGTTCACTATAGGAAATATTCTGTCATATCAAACTAGTCACTACTTCAGGAACATATTCTTTGTCGTTCACTGTAGTCACTACTTCAGGAACATATTCTTTGTCGTTCAAGTAGGAAACTGTAGTCACTACTTCAGGAACATATTCTTTGTCGTTCATATAGGAAACTGTAGTCACTACCTTAGGAACATATTCTTTGTCAATCATATAGGAAACTGTAGTCACTACTTCAGGAACATATTCTTTGTCAATCATATAGAAAACTGTAGTCACTACTTCAGGAACATATTCTTTGTCGTTCATATAGGAAACTGTAGTCACTACTTCAGGAACATATTCTTTGTCAATCATATAGGAAACTGTAGTCACTACTTCAGGAACATATTCTTTGTCGTTCGTATAGGAAACTGTAGTCACTACTTCAGGAACATATTCTTTGTTGTTCGTATAGGAAACTGTAGTCACTACTTCAGGAACATATTCTTTGTCGTTCAAGTAGGAAACTGTAGTCACTACTTCAGGAACATATTCTTTGTCGTTCATATAGGAAACTGTAGTCACTACTTCAGGAACATATTCTTTGTCGTTCATATAGGAAACTGTAGTCACTACTTCAGGAACATATTCTTTGTCGTTCGTATAGGAAACTGTAGTCACTACTTCAGGAACATATTCTTGGAAACTGTAGTCAACTCATATAGGAAGAAAACTGTAGTCACTACTTCAGGAACATATTCTTTGTCTGTTCAGGATAGGAAAACTGTAGTCACTACTTCAGGAACATATTCTTTGTCGTTTGTATAGGAAACTGTAGTCACTACTTCAGGAACATATTCTTTGTCGTTTGTATAGAACAATGTTGTCACTACTTCAGGAACATATTCTTTGTCGTTTGTATAGGAAACTGTAGTCACTACTTCAGGAACATATTCTTTGTCGTTCATATAGGAAACTGTAGTCACTACTTCAGGAACATATTCTTTGTCTGTCGTATAGGAAACTATAGTCACTACTTCAGGAACATATTCTTTGTCGTTCGTATAGGGAACTGTAGTCACTACTTCAGGAACATATTCTTTGTCGTTCGTATAGGAAACTGTAGTCACTACTTCAGGAACATATTCTTTGTCGTTCAGGTAGGAAACTGTAGTCACTACTTCAGGAACATATTCTTTGTCGTTCATATAGGAAACTGTAGTCACTACTTCAGGAACATATTCTTTGTAGTTCATATAGGAAACTGTAGTCACTACTTCAGGAACATATTCTTGGTCGTTGGTATAGGAAACTGTAGTCACTACTTCAGGAACATATTCTTTGTCGTTGGTATAGGAAACTGTAGTCACTACTTCAGGAACATATTCTTTGTCGTTGGTATAGGAAACTGTAGTCACTACTTCAGGAACATATTCTTTGTAGTTCATATAGGAAACTGTAGTCACTACTTCAAGAACTTATTCGTCAGGACATCTTTATAATGTCATATTGCCATGGTGACAGTTAATGAGCTGAAGAAGAATGATGGTGTCATCCAAGTTACCTGTGGATTAGTAGTTATACAACTGGCTCTGAATGTCATATTGTTGGCAGTCTTTGGAGATGTCTGAACATTTTCATTGGGCAGTTGTCTAGGATAGAACCACGCTGTACCTATGTTCAAATCAAACATTTTTTCCCTGCAGGTGAGAAAGGCTTTGCGTCATCAAGAAGTTTATGACAACTTTCTTCGTTCCATTGTCTTGTTCAATCAAGAAATCGTCACCAGGCAAGAACTTGTGACTCTTGTCAGTTTCTTCCTCTCGTAAGTAATCATTTATAATTTGTTTTACCCCTGCGTGTGTTTGTTTGCCATACATAATCCTTTTTTTTCTTGTGACTGTTTGGTGTTTTCATCATAATTATTTTTTTTAGCTGGTTACAAATTACTATTGTTTTCTCAGCCTATGTGCAGTTGTAGCCATTATTTTTAAGTTGTGAAATCATGAATAGACTCAAGAACTTGGAGACAACTAACAGGGTTGAGGCAAAGAGAGTAAATGGAAAGCAGAGAGATAAATACCCAGATAGCTTTATCAAGTGGATGGGGCAAGACAAGAGCACAAGCCTGATCTGTGATTATGGTGGTCATGTGGGATAGTGAAACACAACAGTCTACGTTTATTGGCAGGGCTGGTGATGATGATAATTACTTGAATAATTCTAGCTCTTATTTGTTACATAGATATTCCTTTTTTCCCAGGGGCTTTTAATGTCTTTGCTGAGAAGTATTTATTGGCGAGATAATGAGAAAAGAACAACGAAAACAGTGTTGTGACTTATTTCTTCTTGCTCACTGGCTGTAAACTCCAGTGGAAAGTTCTCGTAATTTATCCACTTATAGACTTCAGTTTTATTCAAGAACTTAGGTTTTGTGTGCATATCAGTTCCACATATCCTGTTTTTTTTTTTAATGCAGACTGTTAACTCTTAATTTTTGGGGCAGTTGCACTCCGATTTTGAAGGAAAATCCTCTAAGAATGGTAGGTCTCAGAACCCAGACAGGGAGTCCTGGGACTGAAAAGATTGATAGAAAGAGGGATCAAGGAAGACAAGAGAAGATTCTCAATAGTCTGTCATGGCATGGGAAGGCATGAGTACAAAAGACAGTGCATATTATGGTAACAAGATATTGAGAAGCATGATTGTCCACATCATTTAACAAGGCACTTGATGATAAATGATATTGTGACTAGGTAATGAAAAATAGGCAAAGGTCCTCCCTCCAGATCAGAGCTAGTCACAGAATATTGTTGATGCCTGGGGCAGGAAAATACAAAAGAAGGGAAAATAGAAAAGGAATTGAAAGGCTTTCTCAATGAGCCGTGCTGGGGAGCATAATTCTACTAAAGACCAGCTGCTAGTAGAAATTAAAATGTGACATTGATAGTTTTCTTTGTTTGTTCTTTCAGGAAGTTTCCTGATCTTTTCCGTGAGTTTAAAGATCTGCTTGGAGTCAACGAGCAAGGAGGCGGAGTTGAACCTGTGCCACATGGAGCCACGCAGAAGGAGAGAATCACCGGGGAGCTGGCCATGGAAATTGGTACACTGCTTGGTTTCTGTTTGTGTCTTTCATTTGTGCCTGTTATTCATTTTCTGTGTTTGCCCTTGAAAGAGCAGTTGGCTCATTGTGTTGTGGTTTACATCTGGGCAGTTATATCTACACATTTCAGTCCCAAACATTCAATTTCAACAAATCCTCGATTAGTTTTCTTTTACAGCATCCTTTTAGGGGCAACGGGTCTGTTCTTTGTCCTCGATAATGAGACCCCGGAAACCATACATGGTTTTGCCTGTAATGATTGGTTCCTCTTTATTTTTAACTTTTCCCTTAACAATCTTGCTTGTGAGGGAATTTTTCCAGTGATTCTCAGCCATTTTGGTCAGAGCATGCTAAAGACATCTGGCTCACCCACTGGCCACTTTCATTGTGCATTTAGCTTGTTGGCAAGTCGTGAGTTTTCCTAGTGGTATTTCCCTCTTGGACATTTGTAGGACCCGTATCTGCTGTATTAGGAATTGAACTTTATTTTTTATCAACATGGGCTTGATTAAATTGCTGGAAGTGAATGTGTACCAATAACCAGTCCAGTTTAAGTTCACTGCAATAAGAAAAAAGTAATTCACTTAAGGGATCCAGTCTTCTTCTGTCGATCACACAAAGAGTACTCAGTGCGTACACAAAACTTAAAGTCCAAAAGTGTGTACATCCAAGTTTTGGGGTAGAATATTTTTGGGGATTTTTTTTCAAACATTTGGGCTGGGCAGTGGCTTATCCTACCTACACTGTTTCTTACTGAAAAGGGATTGTGATGTGTGTGGTTTGTTTTTTTTTGTGTCCAGTCTTCATGGGGAAGCATAATATCAGGTTTCATGGTTTTTTATTGTGTGAAAATCCATGCTTCTACACCTGGTCCACTTCATGTAGAGGTAGTGCTGCTGCTCTCAGCCACTCTGCCTGCGCTAGAGGGGTCTGGAAAGTTATATTCTGTCGTTCATGGTAAACTCAATTACCAAGATGTTAGTGCTGTTTTGAATTATAATTATGAAGTCTTTTTGTGAAGGAATTTTTGTTTGTTTTCTTTAGGAAGATTGGTTTTCACTTTCATTCTCATGTATTTTGTTGAGAATCTTTTTTTTTTCTAGAAATCTGATGGGAAACTATTGTCAACAGAATATGCCTCTAACAAAACTTTTGCATAAAAATTGTAGTGTGAGCATTACTGCTGTGTATATTTCATGATGTTGCTCACACACCTGTTCCGAGTAATGAGAAAACATGTATACTATGAACTGTTTTACAGTCACCAAAGAAAAGATCTGGGCTTTCAACTTGAATTTTAAAGAAACATCCTTGAATCCGGAAGAAGAAAGGGGGAAAAAAGATTAAACAACTGTCAATGAAATCTGTTTAAACAATGTTTTATCAACAGACTTCAATACCTGCAAGAGGTATGGAGCAAGTTACAGAGGCATTCCCAGCAAGTTTGTCCCTCCAAAATGCAGTGGGCGCACTGCTTTATGTAAAGAGGTAAGCAAATTATAATTCTGACATAAGTAGGGCTGGTCACATGATGGTGTGTTGAGGTGTTCTTAAATGTTCCAGAAAATACAACTGGATCAGTGACATTGTACACATGCTTGTGAATATTGTGTTGAATGTTTCCTGTGGCATCATTTACCAGACTAAAGATGGTCGTGGATTACTGTGTTGTCAAGTACAGGATCCGTTCTTCTGCGTCATAAAGCATGTGGTTCTTGCCCCATATGTTTAGACACATCAGTTGATTTGAATCAGCATTTTGAGTATCAAGATAATGGGGAAAAGTTGGATGATTGAGATGGGGTAAATCGGAAAGATATGAATGGCTGAGGTGGGAAAATGGGATATATGAATGGCTGAGAAGAAAACAAAATGAATAATTGAAGTTATAAAGAAAGGATTGAGATGGAAAAGAAGTGAGTGATAGAAAGATGAAAGAGTGTTTTATTGTTATGGTGCAATGAATACATCATTATTTTTATCAGTTAATTATTTTAGTTTATCTCGAACCAGTACTGCTTGTAGGGATGAGGTCAGATCATTAGCCATCTTCAGTAAACAATTTGTTGTCTTCAGTAGATCTGCAGTATGCTTTGTCCCTTGCCAAGATGATAGACTAACATCGTCTTATTCATCCATCTTTGAAAGTTACTTCTTATTGAAAACATTACCTGTGTCTTACATTTTGACCTTTCACCCTTTCCTTGTGAGAAGCCAGCAACTGAAATATATCACTGTTGGATGTGTGTTTGGAAGAAGCATTTGTTGACTGTTTGGTTTTACTAAACAATTTGATGTTGACTAGTTTACCATTGTTTGACAAACAGTCAGCTGTCAGTGCCACTGTCGAACAAAACCCAAGACGGTCTGCTGGCAAATTGCCTGCAGCTGGAATGTAACTGGATGCATTGGAATTATGAAAGTGATATAAGGTTCATTCGCAGTGCCTAAGCCACAGATGCCAACACGAAGACAACTTATCACAAACTTTAAAGACAAAAGTCCTTATTTAACCATATTATAAGAGAGCAGCTGGAGCATTTGACTGTTGTGTTTATCTATAAAAAGACCTAGAAGAAAATGCGTATTATGTGAAATATGAGCATAGTGATCACAATATAGTTAGCACAGCACTTAATGATGATGATTATGGGTAAATATTTTATGTTTATAGCCTTGACCTCATTTAGTCTTGTTTTAAGTTTTGTGTTTACTGGAAATCAGCCTGTATCTTCAGTTTAGTTTCTGCAAGAACCGCACTGTATCTCATGTATTTTCTTAATGTTTCCTTATGGCTGTTATTTTAAAGGTCATAAAAAGTAACTCTGGTTTGGTCATTGTATGAATATTGATAATGCTTGTGACTTTCCTCAGGTTCTCAATGATACATGGGTGTCCTTCCCTACATGGTCGGAGGACTCCTCGTTTGTGACATCCCGCAAAACTCAATATGAGGAAAACATCTACAAGTGTGAAGATGAAAGATTTGAGGTTTGTGCTATTGTCACATGAAGCTATACATTTACATGTTAGGAACAACGAATTTTGACTGTGACAGACATATTTATGTTCCTAGTGTACTGTCATTAGTCTGTGTGCCCTGTTTGCTCAACTGCTCACTGTCTCAAGATTCTTTCTCAGTCTGTAACATTGTGTTCTGTTTTAGCGGAAAGAAAAACCCCCTACCTGATTTCGAGGGGGGGGGGGGGGGGGGAGGATAGACCCACTGCCTTCTAAAATGTATATAAACAAGGATACTAATTAGGAGCATTTCCTTCGAGGTCAAAGTGCATCTGTTCTCAGACAGTAACATTGTACTGTGCCTTAGGTATTGTTCCAAATGTTTTCCAAAAATTAACATTGTGATACGTCTCAAGTATTGTTCCCAAACAGTAACAACAGTAACATTGTACTGTGCTTCAAGTACTGTGTCAAAACAGTAACATTGTACTGTGCCTCAAGTATTGTTCCCAAACAGTAACATTGTACTGTGCATCAAGTGCTGTTCCCAAACAGTAACATTGTACTGTGCCTCAAATATTGTTCTCAAACAGTAACGTGCTGTGCCTCAAATATTGTTCTCAAACAGAAACATTGTACTGTGCCTCAAATATTGTTCTCAAACAGTAACGTGCTGTGCCTCAAATATTGTTCTCAAACAGAAACATTGTACTGTGCCTCAAATATTGTTCTCAAACAGTAACATTGTACTGTGCCTCAAATATTGTTCTCAAACAGTAACATTGTACTGTGCCTCAAGTATTGTTCCCAAACAGTAACATTGTACTGTGCATCAAGTACTGTTCCCAAACAGTAACATTGTACTGTGCCTCAAATATTGTTCTCAAACAGTAACGTGCTGTGCCTCAAATATTGTTCTCAAACAGAAACATTGTACTGTGCCTCAAATATTGTTCTCAAACAGTAACATTGTACTGTGCCTCAAATATTGTTCTCAAACAGAAACATTGTACTATGCCTCAAATATTGTTCTCAAACAGAAACATTGTACTGTGCCTCAAATATTGTTCTCAGAAACATTGTACTGTGCCTCAAATATTGTTCTCAAACAGAAACATTGTACTGTGCCTCAAATATTGTTCTCAAACAGAAACATTGTACTGTGCCTCAAATATTGTTCTCAAACAGAAACATTGTACTGTGCCTCAAATATTGTTCTCAAACAGAAACATTGTACTGTGCCTCAAATATTGTTCTCAAACAGAAACATTGTACTGTGCCTCAAATATTGTTCTCAAACAGAAACATTGTACTGTGCCTCAAATATTGTTCTCAGAAACATTGTACTGTGCCTCAAATATTGTTCTCAAACAGAAACATTGTACTGTGCCTCAAATATTGTTCTCAAACAGAAACATTGTACTGTGCCTCAAATATTGTTCTCAAACAGAAACATTGTACTGTGCCTCAAATATTGTTCTCAAACAGAAACATTGTACTGTGCCTCAAATATTGTTCTCAAACAGAAACATTGTACTGTGCCTCAAATATTGTTCTCAAACAGTAACATTGTACTGTGCCTCAAATATTGTTCTCAAACAGAAACATTGTACTGTGCCTCAAATATTGTTCTCAAACAGAAACATTGTACTGTGCCTCAAATATTGTTCTCAAACAGTAACATTGTACTGTGCCTCAAATATTGTTCTCAAAAAGTAACATTGTTTTGTGATTTTGCTGCAGCTGTTATTCTCAAACAACATTATATTATGTCCCCAGCTGGATTATGTCATCGAGACAAATTTTTCAACAGTCAAGTCACTTGAGGCTGTGTTGAAAAAAATGAACAGAATGCCACAGGATGAAGCGGCCAAGTTCAGACTAGATAACACACTCGGAGGCACATCAGATTTTATCAACAGAAATTCTATTCACAGGTATGTATGTGTTTTTGCCTTGAAGCTAAAACCTCTTCTGCAGTTGAAGTGGCTTGTATGGAATAATTTTGTCATGAAGCTAATGCTGCTTCTATAGTTTAAGTTGTTTTCTAGTCACAGGGTGATATTTGTAAAGGTGATTTTGTCTTTAAGCTGATACAGTTGAAGTGGTTTGTCACTGGGAAGAGGTGACATTTAACTTATGCATCCATCTCACTAGGTTATTTGGTATTATGTAACAACTGGACATAGTGGTTGTGATGTGATCACACACACAAGATGCCATAATCTAAAGAGATGCTAAATCCTTTGCATGTTCACTTTCTGGCTGACTTGTCAACCTTCCAGTTCACTTTCAGTTATTGTAATATCCAAGAGCTCACAAATTATTCTCTTTCTTTAAAATTATTAACAATTTTTGACAATATAGTACATTGTATTTTTATACATGCAGTACAAGCACACATTGAGAACACTTCATAATGTAACTTCACAGAACTGACAGGACTAAAGTAGTAAAGGAACATTAAAAGCATTTGGAGAAGAGATTTGGAGACACATGGAAAGGATGAGAGGGCACTGAGTGAGCTGCAGGTGATGGCAATTGCAGCCTACCATGAATGTCATAAGAGGGGATGATGGATGCATGAGAGATTGGCAGAAGGAAAAAAAAATAGCATAGAGAGGAGCATGTTACTCTTCTTCATTTGTTCTTTTACTGTTTTGGGTATTGAGGAAGATACTTGGTTCTGCTTCTGACTCAGCCTCAGCCATAGAGATATTGTACTGTTTTTCTTTGTCTTGTTCTTGGTCTACAACATGCTGTGCCCCTCTCTTCTTTTAGGGAATGCTTTGTCTGGTGGTATGGGTAGCAGGGCATTCTCTTGAAGTGGGCAAACCATTGTTGTTGTCTTTAGTATCTTAATCAGAATTGGTTGTGTGCCAACTTTTTTCTGCTATGACTTCATACATGATTTTATCTCATCTGGTCACTACTACAACCTTTCTCGGATATCTCATTTCCAGGGTTATTAATATTTATTTCTGATTTACTGTGAGTGACATTGTCTGTTATTAGAGAGTTTAAATATCTAGGAAGTATGATCACAGAAGATGGTAGAATTGACAGAGAAATAGAAACCAGATGTGAGAAAGTAAGTGCACTTATATACCAATTGTCACCATTATTAAGACATCCAAGCATAACTATGAGTGCAAAGAGACAGATTATTAATAGCATATTTATTCCAACATTAAGCTACCAGTGCCAAACATGGACACTATATACGCAAAATTACCACCTGCGAGATGAGGTGCCTGAGAAAAGCAGCCAACCTAATCATACGAGATCGAGTGAATAATGAAACTATCAGGCAAATTGTGGGAACGACACCTTGTACTCGATTCATTGAGAAACAGCAGATCAAGTGGTTTGGCCATCTCGTTAGAATGCAGCAAGATCAAATACCATCACAAGCACTACATCTCAGAATACCAACTACAAGAGCAAGAGGACGGCCGCGGAAAACATGGATTGACAACATTAAAGACACTCTACGCCTTCACGGCATGACAATAGCCAGTGGCAGCCAACGTGCACTTGAACGCAAATTATTCCTCCCCACGATGCTTAACAGCAGAAGTGGTTTATGATGATGATAACATTGTCTGGCAGTGGTAGAAATAAATATGAACTGCTGATATTAAAGTGACATTGAGAAGTTGGGACAAACTGTCACTTTTAAAGTGACATTGAGAAGAGCGGATTACTTGATGTTTATGTTACAGTATGTGCTCACACTTAATCTTTCTGTTCTGCAGAATATATGGTGACAAGGCAAATGATATTATTGAGGGACTAAAGAAGAACCCTCTTGTGGCTGTACCACTGGTGCTTCGAAGGTGAGCTCATCTTTCATGTGTATGAAGTGTTACATTTTAAAGGAAACATTGGCACTGTGTCAGAGTTACCTGAGTCAGTCAAGCTTGTAGTTTTGGTTTGCTGACTTTGTTGTCTCATTGTGAGATGTGAAGGTGTGCTATTGGAAATGCTGAAAGGGAGAAGAAGAAAAAAAAAGGATGTCAAAACTAATGTGATAATGATTGCTAATAAAACTGCCAGTTACTGCCTTCATTATACCACTTTTGCGCTGTAGGCAGGAGGGGTCTTTGAAGATTTACGGCCGCATGCTAGTGCTGTCGCCACGACTGTGCAGGTGAGGATTTTATTTTACCCCCGACAGAAAAATTCCCAGCCTTACTGAGGATTCAAAGCCGGGTCTCCCACTTGAGAGTAAAATAATAGGCCCCAAAAAATTGTGACTGCATCAAGGTGTGTAATAAATTTTCAGTTTTCATCAGATTAGTCACCGTCGTTTTACTGGGTTTTTGCCTTCTTGATAATTCTTAAATTTTCTCCAGAAATCGCAATAAATATGCCATTGAAAAACACACACGCACACACACAGAATCTTATACTTGTTTCACCATGTAATAGAGTATCCATTATTTAAGGGATTTTGATAATGATGATGAAACAAAGCTGCATTCCTAATGATGAACTGTTTAGTTGGCAAGTTGATACTAAAACTGACATTGACATACTTGTTTGTCTCAAAGACTGAAGGCCAAGGATGAGGAATGGCGGGAAGCTCAAAAGCAGTTCAATAAACTATGGAAGGAACAAAACGAGAAATTTTATCTCAAGTCATTGGATCATCAGTGTGCAAACTTTAAACAACACGATATCAAAGCTATTCGAGGCAAATCTTTGTTGAATCAGATAGAGACCATCTACGATGAGGTGAGTCTTGTTTTCTTTGACATTAGGTTCGAGTTATTGTCTTTTTGTTTAAACTCCTGCTGTTTACTTGTCTTGCATCCTAGGCAATAGTAGCCCGGCTCTCTAGCGTAGTTGGTTAAACCTGACTTTTGCGGCGGCCAAGTGATGAACTCCTTGTGGTCCGGGTTCACTCCCGGGGGTAGGCAGAAAAGCCACATTTCTTCCAGATTAAGGGTACCCATAGCGGAATCAAGGTGAAAGGGTTGCGATATCCATAGTACCGAGCCAAAAGGTTTACAACTCATGGTTTCTGGATACTTTAAAAAATGTATAAACACACAAATCTGCCCTCTTCTTCCCCCCCCCCACCCCCTTCTTTTCCCCCAGAGTCAAAATAAATATGTATCCTGCATAATGAGGGAGAACCAGTGTCCAGTGTTGACACACAGTTTACCCAAAAAAAAGGGGGTGGGGGTAAGACAACAATTATATAAAACAAAAAATTTAATTAAAACTGAATTAGCCAAAAAATGGCAGCATAAATGACAGGGCAGTTTTTAATTTAAAAAAAAAAAACATTCTGAATAGTGAAAAATAAAAGATGAAAGGCAACCTCGAGTTATGGACATGGGAGTGAAGGGAAATCTTTCCAGTGGTAGGAAAGAGATGCACAGGAAACTCTACATGTGAAAGGAGGGGATGGTATGAAAACACGCCAGTGGTAGAGATAAGAGAGGTGAAGCAATGTTTCCAGTTATAGAAAAGGGAGACACAAGGAAACTTTCTCAACAGTGAAAATATGAGGCTCAAAGATTGTGTAAATTGTAAATAACATAGTGGCCAACCAGATGTGATGGCCAGGGCCAGCCGACTTTTGTCTGGACTAACTCCAGAAAAGAGTAAACAAAACTGGAGGTAACAAGCAAATGTTTCAGGCCAGCAGCAGCTTGACAGATCAAGCAGATTGAGCAGATCTTCCAGAAAAGGCCAACCAGGAATGAAGCAAACAATAATAATTAAAGTGACAAATCAGTAAGACAACATAAACATATAGCAAACACATCCAGTAACAAACAAATATATATAACATAAACCTTGGCTGTAATCAAGTGATGATAATAATTGTAGCAGTAATAAAACTGTATAACTAAACATGGAAGACCTACACCAGAACTGAATGAAACCTTTTTGGCCAACAGTGTAAGCAAAAAGTTAACCATAATGGACAATAAAGAAAATGAAAACACAATATAAACATCCCAGTTATCTAACACAGAGGAAGTAGGTTGAATCAGGCGAAAACTCTTCTTTTAAACTGGAATTGGTGAGAGAGTGGGAGAAACAGCAGTTCATGTGAAAGAGATATCTTCTTGATCTAAACATTTCTAGCTGCAGAATTAGAGATTTTGAATTATCTTTGTGGCACCCAGATATGTATTTCACTAAAAACACCGATCATTTATTTCTGTTGTTTTAATTTGCAGAGATCTGACAATGAGGAGACACAGCCCCAAGGTCCCATGCTGACATTCACATACGATGATCGTTCACTGATCGAAGACGCTGGCAATCTGGTAATACACCATGTCAAGAGACAGACAGGTAAGACCTGGGTAGTCATCTCGTCTGTAGGAGAGATGTTCAAGGCCAGTTACAAGATGTATGTGCAGAGAGAGTGAGGTAGAAAGAGAGAGAATAGATGTGACTATTACCTTTAAATTGCTAATGGCTGATAAATGTCTTAGTGGTAGCTTTTGGTAAAAGATAGCCCAAGCTGACTCTCATTATCTAACTGATTTTGCATCAAAGCTCATCAAGTAAGGCACTGTCATTATAATATTTGAATCTCTTTGTGTCCACAACTTTAAGTTATTGTATTGTTTAGGGTGTCCTCTGATCTGGAATGATCTGGAATGATTTCCTTTGCTTAGATCACTGATCAGTACCAGTTGAGTTACTTCTTGGTAGTTTTATCATACAACATAATATGGATAACAGCATGTATGATCTCACACAACAGCAACTTTCACCTCAATGTTTGGATTTTTTTTTCTTTTTCTAAGTTTATGATTGAAGATTCATATTTGCAGGCTGTGGAGAATTATAGTCATCACTTTAAGGGGTACAGTGTTAGTGCACTTCCTCCAGTAAAGATATTGATCTGAGCTATTGTACTAGTGGAGACAACACATGTTCTATCATTTACAGGTTTTGGTTGCCATGATGTCTTTGGACAGAGCCAAGTATGCCTGTACCACAACTTTGGTAGTGGCTGCCTCTGCATCATGTGTAGCATGGTGGAATTTAATTATATTTACACACACACACACACACTCACACACACAATTTTTTTTAATATATTATTTGAGGTGAAAGTAGAATTGTGGATTTAAAATGACATAATTTCATGATTATATCACATTTCTCTCTGGGCCAAAATGACCAAAGTCACTTTGAAATAGTCAGAGGGTAGAAAATCAGGCTATTCATTGCTGCATTTGTTTGGTGACATAAAAATAAGCCTTTTCTCAATTTAGACATTCAGTGACTGGAAAAACTGTTTTTTAATTTTTAGTGATTGATATTATCAGAGAAGCCTGCCTGTCTGCTAGGTGGTCTATGGGTTTGACCCCTTGGATGTTTGTACAAACTGACCAAGACTCACCTTTCTTCTGCTTCTTCTCTTCTTCTTATAGTTTCTTAGAATAATTTCATAGTATTTTAAGGATGCATTTAAGAAAGAAAAAATTTGAAGGAATAGAAAACATCATTTTTTTTAAGATGAAATGGTAAAAGACAGGTAAACAGGCTTTTCTGATGTCTTACCGACCTGTGTTCACACTTGGAACGTTATGCTCTGTAAATGCTGGATGTTCTCTCTCTCTCTCTCTCTCTCTCTCTCTCTCTCTCTCTCTCTCTCTCTCTCTCTCTCTCTCTCTCTCTCTCTCTCTCTCTCTCTCTCTCTCTCTCTCTCTCTCTCTCTCTCTCTCTCTCTCTCTCTCTCTCTCTCTCTCTCTCTCTCTCTCACTCACTCACTCACTCACTCACTCACACACACACATGCTCACACACACACATGCATATCATCATATGATCATAACAGGCTTTATTAGTAAAATACAATTGCTGTGCGAAAGATGGTTGACTGGAAGGGGCGAATGTAAGAGGGGCGTGCGGGCCCAATTTGTTACCCTTTGAAAATAAAGTTTGTTCGTTCGTTCGTTCTCTCTCTCTCTCTCTCTTTCTTTCTTTTTTTTTCTTTTCTTGTTGTACCCCACCAGGACATAATAAACACCTGGTGACACATAGTGCCACCATGCAGATGAGGATCACCGGTGGAGAGGTCCTAGAAACCCCTTTCAGCCGCTGGACCATATTTCAGGCCAGGCTATATTTAGGGTACCCGTCAGAAGCCGGGGGGGGGCTTCAAATAACATACAATTGCATCCCACAAGGGGGACGACTCTTATATACTATACATGCTTCCATCAGGCTGCTGAAGAGTTTCAGTATGTAAGGTTTTCCCAGGGCTTATGGGGCAACAAATGTTTGAAGCTCAGATGCCTGATCTGTTGAAAAGTCATGTCTAGGTCACTAACAAGTGTGTGCAATGTTTGTTTGTGTGGCAGCTGGTACATATCAAATGCTTGTCAGGTTTTATATTATTTGCATTTTAAAATGTCCCTTTCATGTTTTTTAGAAAGTGGCACAGACTCCACCAGGTGTGACAATATTTGTTTTCCCTTTGATCTCTCAGGTGTGGACAAGGAAGCAAAGACACGTATCAAACAGCTGGTGAAGCATTTTGTCCCAGACATGTTCTTTGCTCCGCGGGGGGAACTCAGTGATGATGATGGCGATCTCAATGATGGTGAGTTTGTTGTCAGACATTTCTCCATGGTTGGTTGTTGATTGGTTAACACATATAGCAGCAGTTATATATCAATGTTTAGCAAGTGCATAGCATACACTTGACATGTAGCAACTATTTTTTTTTTTTCTTTTTTTTTTTTTAGATTATGATCGCACAGTAAATTACACAAATCATTTTCCTGTATCTCATCAGTTTACTACAGAATTTATATCAAAATATTATAAAACACACACCAAAAAATGTATCATGTTGTTACACTGTTTAGGACATCACTGAAGTCTTAGATTACCCATGTGATCTTTTGTTTACATTATGCCAGATCGCCTGTCCTTATTCCAACCACTTCTGCCCCTACCCCAAGATGCTTGTTCTGTGTGATATTCTGGAAGACACACATCCTGTCAGTCACATTATCACAGTCGAGTGGATGCTGTGCAAGAATTTGCTCTTCTGTTTTAAATTTTATATTCTCTTAGCATTACAGCTATCAGCTCATTGCATACTCTGTCATTACACAAATGGCTGTTCTTTATTCCTTTAAACAATTAAAGAATTGTCTGTTTGGAAATAAAGAAAAGATAACCTAATTTTACTCACAGGGTCTCTCATGGACTTTGTTTTTCTTTCTCTTGTCAACTGTTATGACTTCATTTCACATTTGTCATGAAAAACCCCACTTCTATTCATGTCTGTTTACATCACAGATATGATTATTGTGCCCTTAAACCAACACACCAAACTTCACCAAGGCATTTGTTTCAGCATATTTATTGCTCTTTGTTGATTCCTGCTCTGTGAGAAAACATTCATCTCTTGTTCTGCAAATTTGGTCTTCTTTTTTAATAAAAATTTTAGCACTTTGGGCAACCATCTATATTGTATCAGTCTATAGTGGGAGTAACATGGTAACTTAGCAAGAATGTCCAATGGGGCTACCCAAAAAAAAATAACATTAACCATGCAACATGCCATTGGGGGATACAAGATAGGAGTAGGTGATTTGGAGTGACATTTCTCCTAATTTGTTTTTTTGTTTTCAGATATGGACATTGAGGAAGATGACTTAACCGTGGGTGGTCACCGAACTTCGGAAACAAGTAAAAGAGCAAAAGAAAAGTTTGTGCAAGACGAAGATGATAAAAAGAGAAAAGTGAATGGACTGAAGTCTGAGGCAGAAGAGAAATCTAAGGACATAAAGAAAGAGATTGAAGATGTGGATATGGACAAGGGAGGAGAGAAGAATGCAGAGGTTAATGGTTCTGACAGTGAGGATGACAATGTAAGTTTGTTGTGAAAAATCTTGTATGGTTTAACCATTGACTCATTTTATTGCTTTTTTTTTTCTAGTTTATTCATGCTCATTTCTTTTTTTGGGACTGTTTAGTTTTTATCTTTGAGAATATCTTCTTTATCTAATTTCTTAGAGGACGTAAATAGGCTTTAGTCATTTACAGCATAGTTGCAATAATTACACCTTTCGGCTGAAAGATCTAGCTTCTTCAGGCATTTATGCCCAGGTTAGCCTTCCCGAATCTATGAAAATAGTAGATGTGGTTGAGTATAACTCTGCTGTTTGTTATCATATCAAGCTCAGGACAAAATTTCCTCTAGGTACAGATATGGGTAGTCCCATGGCAGATATAGCCGTGAGGATATGATTTCTCAGGCCTTCAGTATTCTAGGCCATGACATTTGAGATAGAATTGACAGTTTCTGTCTCATTACCAATCCCTCCCTGGAAATTATGCAGTTCATATTTGTTTATGAGGCTGGGTTGACCACAGAGCCATACTGTTCTGGGGGAAATCCTGCCACTTGTAAGAATTTTTCCTGTAACATTGTCTCAGTAGGCAAGCATACAAACTACTATACCACCTCAGCTGTGGAGACAAAAGCCTGTTCTGTGTTCTGCATAAGTTGTACACTTGCAACAGATGTTTGGCTGCATACAATTGCAACACATTTTTGGCTGCATTCACCAGCTGCAGAATCACATTCATCACTGGTTTATATTTTACATTTAGGATTATGTGAAACTAAAAGGAAGATACAAAAACACATGGAGAAGGGAGATAGAGACTGAGGTTAAAATAATGGAGCAGACATGCAGAGAGCTGCATGTGATACCAAAGGACAGAATGACTTGGTGTGAGTAGGCTGAGGGCCTGTGCTCCATTGGGGGTTAAAAGACAGAAGAAAAAGAAGTGTCTGATTTATAGTCTCCATGACGAAGGTCTTGGGATTATTTCACGGATGTATCATTCAGTTCTAGGGTGCAGTATTTACTGAGATCCCTGGGTAATGTCACTGGAGCTATGGAGTTTGTGCTTTGTGCTACGCTTATGGCAGATGGCTGATCATTCTCAGTAATACACCAAGCTACATTGCGATAACCCTTTACGGTGAAGTCGATCCTCCCATCTGTAACTTTAATCTGTTGTAATCCTTGTAGTTGCTGACAGTTTGCTGCTTGAATGTTTGATGCTGTTCAGCTAGTAATGTGCATCGTCTTTCAGATGGCTTGGGTAATCTGATTCCTGCTTAGTTTATAATTGCTTCTTTTAAACCTGTGGCCTCATCATAAGATCTGTCTGTATCAATTTGAGGAAATCCATCACCCCTCTGTTGCCAGTTTCTCATCAGGACAATCCATTTATCTCCATGTTGTTGTGGAAATGGAATCATTGACCTCTTGCTTAAAGTTCCATAGAATAGGGCAAGCTTACTGTCACTCATTATTTATCTGTCATTTATGTATTGTTTGTTAAAAAAAAAAAAGTAGCAGAAGCATTAGCACTGATAGTGGTGATGAAATTTGCAATAGATAATGTTTCCATGACCGATACACACTGTACTATGTTTCTTCCAGGACCGATACACACTGTTCTACTGTAATACTACCTGGTACATCTTCCTGCGCCTGCACCAGATCCTGTGCTCTCGCCTTCTCAAGGCCTACACCCTGACACAGAAACTGATTCAAGAAGAAGCAGTGACCAAGAAAGAAAGAAAAGATTCTGTTGCATTGGCCTTGCGTCTTCGATCACCATGTAAGTTAAATTAGAGCGAGTTTACATTTTCTTAAATGTGTGTAGATTACAGCTGTTGCATTACCTGTCTAAGTTGAGTTTTAAAATAGAGTACCAAAACTGAGAATATGCTGCCCTTTAATTATTTTTGTTTGCTATGAATCTTTCCAATTTAAACAGATTTGATATTTATCTTCTTTTCTGGTCATATTAACAATCCAGTCTCCACAAACAACAAGATTCAAATTGCACACAGCTAGATGGTTGTATGGTTTTGACTGGCACTGGAATGGAGCAACTATGGGGTGACCCATTTGCATTGGAACCCTGTCTGATAGCTTGATCTTCTTACGGAGAGTCTTAACAAAATATATTACATACTGACTGAGTTTAAATGTTTTTTTAAATTTTTATTGTTATTGACTTGCCAGTGGACGTAGAAGTGGAGGACTATTACTCCTACTTTCTGGAGATGGTCAGGGCTGTGTTGGATGGGAACATGGAAGCCAGCCAGTACGAGGACACCATGAGAGAGATGTACGGCATTGAGGCGTATCAGCTGTTCACTATGGACAAGGTGGTGCAGAATATTGTCAGACAGGTAAGGCGTGCTTCCTGTTGACACGATTACTTTGTTGATTAAGTTTCAGTGACAGTTTAGAGGCAACTGTTGAGGTGATTATGGCACCAGTCTCCAGTTTGAAGAGACAGGTTCTAAACTCTGTCAGGCGTAAAATATAAACCCGATCTGTACACCTTGGTGATGGATGGTTTCAGCAGTGCTAATTGATCACGGCAAAAAAGTTCTTGTAACAGACACTGACAATAGTGCAAGATGCTGTCTTGGTTGGTTTAAGGGACAGTTAGGTCAGTAAGTAGCTTTAACAGTGAAAAACAACCCAAGCCATTGAAGACCATCAAAACAGCTCAAACTTCATTTCACGTGTCTTCTTTTAATACAAGGCATGATCATAAAGAAGGCTGTGGTGTACTGTTTCATGGTGCAATACATCCCATGTCTGCAGGTGTTTAACTAAACTGCCCTGTCTAGACTGTGCCCAGTCTGCAAGGCAGCAGATTTGTCTGTTTGACCCATTGACATGGCAGAGCCTAATATTGGCTAAGCTATTGACTGGTATTGTGTCAGCATAGCTTTTGGGAAAATTGGGCCACATTGGCCTCTGTTGTTGCAAGTTTGTGGCGTGAGACAGGAGCTACTTTCTTCTTCTTGTTACTGTTTTTGTTTTGTTTTCTTCTTCCTATCTCTCTTTTTTTTTAATTTGTGCATTTTACCATTGAAATATAAAGAGTGCTTCAAAGTCTAATTCTTTCCACTGTTTCTTTGTTTGTGTTTTATAGGGTGTCCTTTTATTTTGTTTGTGTCGTATCCGAGTGAAAACATTAAGCTGTAGATCATGTTATATATAACAAACAGACACCCAGTGTATTGATCGGCACTCATAGAAATAAGTAGAAAGGTAGAAGGACACACTAAATATAAAAATCGAAAGCTGTAGTTACCATGCAGGGAATCGAACCTGTCACTCCCAGATGATGAATGGGCCTCACTGTGGAAATAAATATACTAAGATACATGACTAACTAGACATGTATCTTAGTAAACTTGTTTCCACAGCAAGGCACATTTGTTATGTGGAGGTGACACATAGCTTCAAGGGTTCCCCTCTATTTATTTATATGCCATGTTTATCATGTTGCATGGAGGGGAAAGCTCTGAAGAATAAGGACGGAAGAGGAAATAATTGAAATTTAGGCTAAGAATTGAATGTTTGTAAAGAAGCACACAACACGATAGAAACAGTGGCCCTGAAATACCAGACATTTTTTTTATGAAGGCCTTTCCTAACGCAAGTTGGTGACACTTGCCAGCACCATGGACTGCGACTTCTATGTCTCCCGGTAGCACAATGTGATAACATGCATCTAGAAAGACATAAAGGTGCCAACCAAAATATTTGATTCACATTCCCTAATTATTAACTCTGTCATATGTGGTCAGATCATCATCATCTTTCTGATCATGTCTGATGATTGGTATTGTGTCAGCTAATTTTGGGTCTTCATTGTTTATCCTCTGTCCTTGTCAGTTTAATTCATGACAGTGAGAAGAAATACATTGCTCAGGTAGAATAAGTCATGACAGTAAAGATACTTATATTGATGGGATACAAGAAAGTATATAATTGGTTATTATCAACAATTGCAGGTGCAGCATCTAGTGATGGATGACATACCATCAAAGCTGACCAAGCTCTTTGAGGAGCAGAAAGAGAAGGGGGGCACAGGAGGTCGTTGGACAACCAGACATCAGAGAGCTGCTTTAGAGCAAGCCTATCTGAGACAGGCGGAGGCCATTCTGGTAGATGACAATCCATTCAAATTTGTCTTTGTAAGTATCTGCAGTTGTTTCACTAGTGTGTCCTGTGATGTGCTGGGTTATGAGAGCCCATGACATCTCTGTTAGAATGTTAGACAGGCCTGCATGCCTAATCTTATTCCCTGGGAAAATAAGGTAGATCTAGCCAGGTGGCATTCCCGTAAAAACTTAGCTGAATTGATCAGTAAAGAATATGTCACACCACAACCTACCAAAAGGCCTGAGAGCTCATCTGACAGCCACAGGCAGGTTGAGTGAAAAGAAGAAGAGAATAAAGTGTATTTGTTTGTATTTTACCTTTTGCTGGAGAGATCAGGAAGTACAGTTCAGTTGTCAGCATGCTTGTTTGCTGACACTGTACTTAACGGTCCTATTTTACACCATGTGTTTGTTGGATTCTCTCCCATGTACTTTATCAGTTTTCTTACATTCTTTTGCTAAATCTGATTGTTAGACCCACTATGCTTCAGATTCTACTTTAACTCCTTCTCTGTCGTGATGCCATTTAAACTCATTCAGACCCAAACATTCATTAGTTAAAGTAAATGCTTTCTTGATTGAACAGCCTAAATAATATCCCTGGTACTGACAGGACTAAAGCAGCGTCCATGGCTCAGGCATTGCGAGTCCGACTCGGAATTCTAACATACCGCGGTCGAAACCCACTGCTGACTGCGTGGATTTTTATGGTGGTATGGGGCGTTGCAGGTTGACCCAGCCTAAGATGGGTACCAGGATGCATGTCCTGGGGAAGTAAAGACGGCCGGCATAATGCTGACCACATTACCCATCTAGTGCTGATTGGTCTGTAACAAAATATGAGTGCTCTTCCCATATGTCTGATGTGCTTAAAGGCATGAAAAGGGATCTTTACTTTACTGACATGGCTAAAGAGGCGAAGCTGAAGCTAAAGCAGTATTCTGTTGTACAGAGGTGAATTATTGACAGCCAGAGGTTGTATTAATGGAAACAAAAAACAGTCAAATACAGAGTTTCTAGCCATGCTGGGAACGAAGAAAAGATTTGCTGAATGGAAAAAAAAAAGAGTTGAAATACCCCAGCCACATTAAAAAGACATAGCACCCTTTTTAAAACTACACCGGAGTGAGAAGTCAAGGCAAAAAAGCAAGAGATAGGCAGAGATACAATTGAAAAGAAGAGAGAGAGAGAGACACACACACCACCACCATCCCTCCCTCCCCTCCTCCTTCCACCTACACAGACATACCTAAAGAGTGGTAAATGCAAGCAGTTAAGACAGTGCTGCTGACAGGATATTTGACATTTGCCCATTCACAGATGTCCTGGTTCTGCTGGCAGATCCACAACTATATTGCATTCACCTCAAGTGTTTATGTTGATTTTGAATGCTTTTCCAGAGAAGCCTGACAGCACAGATGGAGATTGACATGTTGGATCCTCCCCCAGAATCCAATGATTCTGTGAAGGAGACAAGCAATTGGTCGTCTTATTTGAATGAGTTTGCCACCACCAAGAAGAACGAGGAGTTTTTGCATAAAGTTGGGAACAGCCGAGCTATTTATTTGTTCAGGTAATCAGAATGGTGTTGATTTGATGTTTACCTTTAAAAAACTTGTGAGAATTGTCTTGTGTTTTTGTTTTTAAGCTGTTTGGTCTTTCAACCAGAGCTGAATTACAAGTGAAGAATAATAATTTGTGATATGAAATAAAAAAGGCGAGTGACATTTAATTTCTTGCTTCCCCTCTCTGTCTGCCTGTCTCTGTCTTTCTGTCTCTCTACATATCTCTCTCTCCGCCCTCCTCCTCTCTCCCCCTCCCCCCTTTCTCTCTGCGCTTCTCACCTTATTTTTTGTTTGTTTCCGTTTTCTGTTGTGGCATTGTATAGTGAATTACTACCTGTAATAGAAAGATAAACTTATCTTTATAACTACCCGTGTGTGCGTGCATGCGCACGCTCGCGCTTTTTTTGGGAGGGGGGGGGGGCTTTGGGCTTTGCCTGATTCCTTCATATATTATCTTTGTTTTATTGTATTTGTATTTTACATTTTGCATTTTCAGAAACAAGAGGAGAAATCCTTACTGGAAAGATTTCAAGAAACAACACGACAACTTACTTAGAGATGAAAAAGATGAGGAAGACGAGGAAGAGGATGATGATGACGAAGATGAGGATGATGATGATGAAGATGGGGAGGATGAGGATAGAAAGGGGAAAGCAGATAAGGAGAAGAAAGGAGGGAAAAAACATGAGAAGAAGTATGTGGCTGATGAAGGTGAAAGCCATAAAGGTGAGTTAGTGTTATATTATTCTTGTTCCTGTGTAGATATTGTGCTTGTTCCTGTGTGGATATTGTTTTATTGTTCCTGTGTGGATATTATTTAATTGTCCCTGTGTTAATATTGTTCTTGTTCTTTGGGGTATATTGTTCTTGTTCCTTTTGTGGATATTGTTTTATTGTCCCTGTGTGGATACTGTTTTAATGTTCCTGTGTGGATATTATTTATCGTCCCTGTGTGGATATTGTTTTATTGTTCCTGTGTAGATATTATGCTTGTTCCTTTGTGGATATTGTTTTATTGTTCCTGTGTGGATATTATTTTATTGTCCCTGTGTTAATATTGTTCTTTTTCTTTTGGGTATATTGTTCTTGTTCCTTTGTGGATATTGTTTTATTGTTCCTGTGTGGATACTGTTTTATTGTTCCTGTGTGGATATTATTTAATTGTCCCTGTGTTAATATTGTTCTGGTTCTTTTGGGTATATTGTTCTTGTTCCTTTGTGAATATTGTTCATGTTCTTTTGTGGATATTGTTTCTGTGTGAATATTGTTCTTGTTATTTTTTGGATATTCTTTTATTGTCTCTGTGTGAATATTGTTATTTTTCTTTTGTGGATATTATTTTATTGTCCCTGTGTGAAATTTGTTCTTTATTCTTTGTGGATATTGTTCCTATGTGGATATTTTTTTTTCCTGTGTGCAGAATTGTTTGTGTCCCTCTTTAGATATTGTTCCTATGTGGATATTGTTCATGTGGGGATATTATTATTATTATTTTCTGGATATTGTTTTTTTTCCTGTGTGGATATTGTTCTTGATACTGTGCAGATATGTTCTTTTTTTTTTTTTTGGTATGAATCAAGGTAAGTTTGTATTTAATCCATGCACTTACTGACACATTTGGCTCAACAGAAGGTTTCAGTTTTAGGTTTGCCCCAGACACATAATGACAGTTGATGTGATATTGACCTAACTAGACCACTGTAGAATCCACCGGTCCAAGTTTTTTTTTTTTTTTTTTGGTGGCCATTGTGTGTTTTGTTTTGTATTTTAACTTTTAAGTGAGGAAAACAGCACTCACATTGAGACCAGCGGATTCTGTTCAACGTTGTTTTCTCAGATTTGTTTTTAAACTTTGGGGAAAAGCTAGTTGTATGTCTTTACAGGACATGGCAGAATCAACCCCAGCATTTGTTGGCTGTTTGTGATTTCACTAGGCAGTTTTACGTTCAGTAATTTACTGATGCTTTGTGATTTCACTAGGCAGTTTTACGTTCAGTAATTTACCGATGCTTTGTGATTTCACTAGGCAGTTTTACGTTCAGTAATTTACCGATGCTTTGTGATTTTACTAGGCAGTTTTACATTCAGTAATTTACCGATGCTTTGTGATTTCACTAGGCAGTTTTACATTCAGTAATTTACCGATGCTTTGTGATTTCACTAGGCAGTTTTACATTCAGTAATTTACCGATGCTTTGTGATTTCACTAGGCAGTTTTACGTTCAGTAATTTACCGATGCTTTGTGATTTCACTAGGCAGTTTTACATTCAGTAATTTACCGATGCTTTGTGATTTCACTAGGCAGTTTTACGTTCAGTAATTTACCGATGCTTTGTGATTTCACTAGGCAGTTTTACGTTCAGTAATTTACCGATGCTTTCTGAACGGCTCTCAATACCATTGTTGAAACTTACCACAAGACAGTCTGTTGCCATATTGTCCGCAGCTAGGAAGACAGTCTGCTGCCATATTGTCCGCAGCTAGGAAGATAGCCTGCTGCCATATTGTCCGCAGCTAGGAAGACAGCCTGCTGCCATATTGTCCGCAGCTAGGAAGATAGCCTGCTGCCATATTGTCCGCAGCTAGGAAGATAGCCTGCTGCCATATTGTCCGCAGCTGGGAAGACAGTCTGCTGCCATATTGTCCGCAGCTAGGAAGACAGCCTGCTGCCATATTGTCTGCAGCTAGGAAGACAGCCTGCTGCCATATTGTCCGCAGCTAGGAAGACAGCCTGCTGCCATATTGTCCGCAGCTAGGAAGACAGTCTGCTGCCATATTGTCCGCAGCTAGGAAGACAGTCTGCTGCCATATTGTCCGCAGCTAAGAAGACAGCCTGCTGCCATTTTGTCCGCAGCTAGGGTCAAAAGCATAATTATGAAGCATGCTCACACCCCTTAGCCACAGATGCTTACTTTTAATATTTATCAATGACTAAATTGTCAATGAAAACTATGCCACTGACTAAATTATTAATGAAAACTATACCACTGACTTGTTAATGAAAACTATACCACTGACTAAATTGTTAATAAAAACTATACCCCTGACTAAATTGTTAATGAAAACTATACCACTGACTAAATTGTTAATGAAAAAAATTTTCCCCACATTACACAGGGAAATCTGAAGTCAACCAAGATTCTGAAACATCGGAAAAGGAGAAGTCACCTTCAGAAACTCGAATACATAAACCATTTGAAGGTGTGGAGCCCAACAGAAATGGTGCGACCCCTGCTACTGCCATTAATGATGATTATGATGATGAAAATATTGACGATGCTGCAGCTTTAGCAAGAGCAGGTAGAACACCTATGGGTGGCGATGACGACGACGATGATGACGACAAAAGAGGAGGGGCTGATAGTGATGGAGGACTGGGTGATGATGAAGATGATGAAAAGGGAGCAGAAAGTACGAGCAAGAGGAGGAAGATTGGATCTTCACCTGATGGTAATTTTCTATTCTTGAAGAAATAGTTGATTGTTTGTTAAATAATATTGTTGTTGGTTTTTTGTGTGGCAGTGTGACCTCTAAAATTTTGGAAAGGGGGGGGGGGGGGAGCTCATACACAGTAGAATAGTAAGATAGCATAGCACATCTGAAAGCTGCAAATAACAAACTGTTGGTAGAGTTGTTATAAATCAAAAGTGTCACAATACTTGGGTAGAGTTGGAATAAATCAGAAGTGTAATAATAACAAGTCTTGGGTAGAGTTGGAATAAATCAAAAGTGTCACAGTAACAAGTCTTGTAGCGCTAACAATTCTTCAGTAGGGTTGGAATAAATTAAAAGTGTAACGGTATAAAAAGTCTTGGGTAAGGTTGGAATAAATTATAAGTATGATAACAACTTGAAAACTGTTTATTTTCACATTTACACAGTCTTCCCAAACCTGCTGCATTGAACTGTGTGCTCCGTTTTCTAAACCACATTTACACTTCAGATTCAGCTTCTGCATCATTCACGAAATGCCCCCCCCCCCCCCCCCCCCCCCAACCCAGGTGGGTCCGTGAGGAAATTTTTTTTACCCAGCTATGCAGCGCTTTATGGGATAAACATTTGTCCACATAAACAGGAAGAATTTTCTTATGAATGTCCTTTGCAGACAGCCCTTTGCCCCGCCACCCCCGCCACCCCCATCCAAAACAAACACACAACAGCATGTTGTTCTTTAGAGATACACTCTGTAAGTACATTCATCATTTTATTTTTGTGTTGTGCATGTGCATGCAACATCTTGCACCACCTAACGAGCAGAGACATAAAGTTAGATGTTGCTGTCACCTAATGACACCTTTAGAAACCACTAGCTACATGTTTCTCACCATCCCGTAATCATTTGTGACTTACTTATTGACCTCCCCTTGTCAATGAATGTCATTAGTTAATGATGGACTGATAGCTAATAAGAGACTGAGCATCTCATGAAAGGAAAAATTTGTATATCTCTGGTGTAAGACTTCACACTTGGTGCTATCCTGCAGGTCTGGCCAGGCGAGTTCACAGCATAGACACCACCAGCGTCAAGTTCCAGCACAACTCCTACCATCACATGTTTGTCAAGGACACTGGCATGTTCATGTATCATCGCCAACGTCTGGCTCGTACACATGCTGTAAGTAAATGTTCCTGGCTGTTGTGTTGTGTGCTTGTAGGTTGGTGGCAGGTTGGAAATGTCTGCTAGGCTGAAATAGACTCAGTGCTAGTTACATTTTCTGGGCATTCATTCTCATTATGAGCTTAACCAACTTGTGATGGTGATCGTGCTTCTGCACATCTCTACAGCCTGCAACAGCTGACACCCTTCCAAGCCAAAATAGAAGGTAGCCACAAATCTTCACCCATTGTCTGGCTCCATAAATCTTTGCAGCTGTTAGTGCCAGTTATCAAGGCACTTGATGATGTTGATGATCATAGAAGGCAGTCTCAATAGTGTCTGGGCTGTCATGCCTGTCTGTCTGTCATGCTTCCAGATCTCCATCAAAGTAAGGATTTGCTTTTTTATTCTCTTGGCTGGATCCAGGAAATTATATGGGAAGTAAATGTGGCTAATATAATTAACCACATCATCTTTTTGTGTGCCAGCAATCTACAAATATAAAGGATAGTACCTTTTACCTGCTACACCTCAGGACATAGAAGTGTGTTGTGTCTGGTCTTGATTTATAAATACCTTGATTGACTCCCAGCTAAAGTTTATGTATAGATTTATTTACCCTAGCTGAAGTTTATGTATAAATTTATTTACTCCAGCTGAAGTTTATGAATAGATTTATTTACCCCAGCTGAAGTTTATGAATAGATTTATTTACCCAGCTGAAGTTTTTTGTATAGATTTATTTGCCCCCGCTGAAGTTTATGTATAGATTTATTTACCCCAGCTGAAGTTTATGAATAGATTTATTTACCCCAGCTGAAGTTTATGTATAGATTTATTTACCCCCGCTGAAGTTTATGAATAGATTTATTAACCCCAGCTGGTTTTTAAGTAGAATTTTTTCTTAGCTGGTCTGTGTATAGATTAGTTTATCCCAGATAAAATTCATATATAGATTTACTGAAGATTGCTTGAAAAAGTGCCAGGACTTGTGTATTTATATATTAGAAAGTAGTTTTCCATCATCATGCAAGTAATACAATCTCTTATAGAATAAGTAGTTTTATGAATAAACTGTCAACAGCAGTGGATTCCTTTGTTTAGCAATATGTGTGTGTGGTGGGGGGGGGGGGGCATTCTCTACTTTGAGAAGCTAGTGGCATCTGACTACTGCATTACTATATCTGTCAAATAGCCTGGATGGAACCATTTTGACTTGTCCTTGGTTCACACCATGAGCACATAAGGCATGTGATGCTAGACTGTTTTTGTAGAGCTTTTGGCTTGTATGTGTGAGACACCAGTGTTGGGCATAGGTTAAGTCTCCACACAACTACAGGCTCACACATTGTCTGACTGGTTTCTGGCAATTTCTTTCAGTGTCACGAGAAGGTCACACAGAAGAAATACAAACAGATGACAGACTGGACCAAGGCTTGGCTGGCAGACAATGTCTCTTCTGACCAGGTGGAAGATTGCAGGCGCTGGCTGATGGGTCTGGCCACAGAGAGCAGGTCCAACAGCACCTCGGCCACGGAGATTGAGCAGTATGACAGGACACCGTACAGGGCATTCACCAGATACTCTGTCGACTGGGTAGCACCAAGTTCTGGCAGGCACTCGCCTGCCTCAACCAATAATTAGAGATGTATATTGTACAGTATTTTCTGACATGTACACATACACACAGGGCCAGCCAGAACAATATCACACCCTTCAGCAGTATCGATAACGGTGTTAATGTTGAGTTTATACCAACATCAAGGGGTGACAATACGCTGCTTTCAATTTTCACAGTTACATGTCAGGTTCTTGGTGGCTACCATTAGTGTCCAGACGCTCATCATCTTCTGCTGCATTCACCCTTAAAAGGATATTTGGCATATTATATTGTTGTTTGCAGCTAGGCTGCGATATCTGCATTTTTTGGAGCTCAGCATGTCTTATTTACAGCAAACCCTTAATCAGTCATACTTTATGATGTACTTTTTAGGGAGTATTGGTCTATTCCTCCCTCCCCTCCCCCCCCCCCCCTCACCCCCCCCCCCCCCACCAACACTTGAGCAGTGTTGTCCAGTAAGATTGTTGCTGGTGCTGTTTTTATGTAAAATATACACACAGTAATTCTAGTATTCATGTGAGTAATAACACCTTTTGAAAGAACATACATTGTAACCTTAATTCCATCTAATTGTAAAAAGTCTACATCTGTCAAGGCTTGTACACCTTTTTGTGAAGGGCAATGTTTACACGTACACCTGGCTTTCTCAGCAGGTCTTCTGTCCAGTACCTGCATCTTTTAGTGATTCTTTTGTACCATTTAATTCCCTCTGTTCCGCCCAGCCACCAGTTAATGAATATTAGTTTTTAGTTTATTCCCATTATCTTTATCTTTCCCTTATGGATTTTTTAGACCTGATTGTTTCTGTCATATATATTTAATTTATTGTGTCCCCCTCTCTCTTTGCCTGTCCCTTCTCTCTCATTCTCGCTCCCTTCCTTTCTCTCTCTCTCTCTCTCTCTCTCTTTGGCCATCATCCTTTTCCTCCTTCCCTCTGTCTCTCTTTCCCTCTCTGTCTTTCACACTGTCTCTCCCATTCTCCCTCAGCATCTGTTTCTCTCTCTCTCTCTCTCTCTCTCTCTCTCTCTCTCTCTCTCTCTCTCTCTCTCTCTCTCTCTCTCTCTCTCTCTCTCTCTCTCTCTCTCTCTCTCTCTCTCTCTCTCTCTCACACACACACACACACCTGCATCAGGTACCAGGTCAGGGTAGGGTCTAGAGCAGACAGAACTTCAACTGGCTACCCTCTACCACCTGGTGGTTCTAGAAAAGATGTCAAACACTCTGTGTGTGTGCAAAAACCCACATGTGTGCGCACAAATAAAGTACCATGAATGCCCTTTAAACAGGACACAAAAGCTAGCAGAATATGTGTACAGTGATCTAAACATATGGCTTCTTGTGTGTTTTGTGGGGATTGATATAGCACCCTGGATCACATTTGAAGCAGATTGCTGGACAAATCTAACACAAGAAATCTAGACAATATATAAAGGGAAACAGAAAGTCTTGTCAGTAAGATAAAATAAGCAAGGAATTTATTTACATCCTTATAAATGTAGCATAAGAAAAATGCTTCTTATAGGTATACTTCACTTTACATTGAACCATGTCATTTCTTTTGTGTTGGTGGAATTTATTTTGTTGTTTATTTAACATAGTTATTCACAGCAATAGAAGTTGTGTATTGTTAATTATGTTTGTATAATCTGTGCTTGTAAAAAGAATCTAAAGCTTACTGAGTGTATCATGTTTCATGTACTATATAAAGCTGTTCTCCTGGTCATTTTTTTTGTCGAGTCGAGCTCACAGCTTCACTTATGTCCCTTGTTTCATTTGTGTGTACTTTCCTCCCATGTTTATTGATACCATGTTTGTCTCTGGCACTCATGTTTTGTTTCTGCTCTTTCTAACAAGTTTCATCTGTTCTTTTTTTTCACGTTCACTGGCTGTAAACTCCCCCAGAAAGTTCTGTTTGTTTGTCAGCTTCTAAATTCTAGTCTTGTTCCAGAACTTGATTTTACTTGTACATTTGTTTTATATCTAAAATATATAACATGTAAAATGAATGTGCACGTAAAATCCAGTTCTGGAACATGTAGACAGTTGGTTAATGCCTCTCAGGCAGATGCACTCTGACTTTGAAAGAAACCCCTAATTAATCAACTCTTATGAGATGCTTGTTAGAAACGAAGTGCGTCTATTCTACAGTGAGGCCTGGAACCCGTTTGAGAAGTTTCATTCTTCCCATTGTCAACTGGATTCAGGTTTGACATTGTATCTATTGCCTTTGCATCGCTATCACTGCCCCCATTCTTCCCATTGTCAACTGGATTCAGGTTTGACATTGTATGTATTGCCTTTGCATCGCTATCACTGCCCCCATTCTTCCCATTGTCAACTGGATTCAGGTTTGACATTGTATGTATTGCCTTTGCATCGCTATCACTGCCCCCTCCCCCACCCCCAATAATTACTTGTCACTTACTAATGTATATGTCATTTTTTTTCTGTCTGTTAAATGTGTAATAATGTTATTAAAATTAAAAACATGCTAACAAATTAAAAGTATCCAAGTTTTTGAGGGATTGTCTGGGGGTGCGTACAGATGGTAGAATGTTGTTAATAAATAGGTTTGTTTGTAGTAGATGTCATGTTTGTATTGTGTGACTGATAATGTTGATTGTGACTGTTCCATTGTAACTAATGTATTGATTGTGTGACTGTTCTATTTGTAACTGATATATTGATTGTGTGATTATTCCCTTTGTAACATGTGTTGATCGTGTTACTATTCCATTTGTAACTGATGCATTGTTCCATTTGTCACTGGTGTGTAGATTGTTCCACCTGTAACTGATGCGTTGTTCCATTTGTCACTGGTGTATAGATTGTTCCACCTGTAACTGATGCATTGTTCCATTTGTCACTGGTGTGTAGATTGTTCCACCTGTAACTGATGTGTAGGTTGTTCCTCCTGTCACTGATGTGTTGACTTTGTCATTGTTCCATTTGTCACTGGTGTGTTGATTGTGTGTGTTCTGTTTTGTTAATTGTTCGTTTCATTTGTAATTGATGTATTCTTCTTCTTCTTCTTCGCGTTCACCAGCTGTACACTCTGGCAGAAAGTTCTGGTTGCTCGTCCACTACTGAACTGCAGTCCTGCTCCAGAACCTGAGTGTTGCGTGTGCATCAGTTTTACAGATCTCATTCTCTTGAATACAGACTGTGGTTCCTTGCCTCTCCGGCAGATGCACTCTGACTTCAAAGGAAGCTCCCCAGTTAGTTGACTCTTACGACATGCATTTGGGGAGGCATCGGGTCTATTCTTGTTTTCCCCACAATGGGGCCCCGGAACCCACACGGGTGGTAATTGATGTATTGATTGTGTCACTGTTCCACCTGTCACTGGTGTGTTGATAGTTCCACCTGTCACTGATGTGTTGACTGTTCCACCTGTAACTGGTGTGTTCACTGTTCCACCTGTAACTGATGTGTTGACTGTTCCACCTGTCACTGATGTGTTGACTGTTCCACCTGTCACTGGTGTGTTGATAGTTTCACCTGTAACTGATGTGTCGATTTTTTCAGGTAACACATCCCTGAACCATGACCTAACAATATCAACAACTTTTTTTTTAAGCATACATATTTCTACTGTCTCGAGGAGGACTGCGTTATGTGTTTTCCTATCACCCCATGGCATTCTCTGCATTCTTCTCTTAAACCACATCTCTGCTGCAAGTAAATGTTTTTCTGCCTTTCTGCCTATAACCATGACCCCCATATAGATATATATATATTTGTGTGTGTATATATATATATATCAACACAGGTCCTACATAGCACTGTAACAGTCTTCCCCCCTGCAGTTAATGTCATATCTTTTTCATGTTCACTGGCTGTAAATTCTGGGAAAACTCTAGTTGTTCATCCATTTCTGGACTTTAGTTTTGCTTCAGAACTTGAGTTCTGCATGCACATCCATTTTACTTAGCTTAGTTGTATGTATGCAGACTGTTGGTTCCTATCCTCTCAGGCAGATGCACTCTGACTTCGAAGGATACTCACAATTAGTCTATTCATGCTTGTTGTGGGGTGGTAGCCCCCCACTCCCCAACCTTCCCCATAATGGGTCCATGGTACAGATAGGTAAGCATCATTTTATTGGTATCTTGCTGAAGGTCACTTTTACCAACCTGATTCTTGTTCTAATTTCTGCAGGGCATCTTGCTGAAGGTCACTTTTACCAACCTGATTCTTGTTCTAATTTCTGCAGGGCATCTTGCATCAGATGTTAAAACTGTACAAAATATCTGTATCAATTCATTTGTAAAATAAATCCTGAGAAAACTGCTAAACATGAAATAGGATAAATTCATCAGAGAATTATTTGGATAACTATTGGTATAACGAGTTAGACGACAAAGAAGGGGGTGATATTTTGACCACATTATGAGGCAAAGTAGAGAATCACAAGCAGGCAATGAAATATGAAACAAATGTATTGAGGCAATGAAGATGTCCCAGAGAAACCCTACGAAGAATGTGATAAAATCGGCCAGAAGTACCAGACTGGGTTCAGTTCACAATGTAGACAAGATTTTACAAGATAGAATGAATGAACAAACTTTATTTTCAAAGGGTCACAAGCTTAGCATGCTGGCCCACCTTTTAATTGGTCCTTCATAGCTCAACAGAACAGCATAGAGGAATAGACTGACTCATGTGTGACATATAAATGGCACCATATGATGTATATGCAGGCAAAACAACTGTTTTTGGAAGTGCAGGCTAGAAAAACCAGTGAGTATTCGTTTTACTGCTTTAAAACCATCGCTGCTAAGAAGAACACATTACACAGAGTCTCTGTTCATAAGGATACCCACTGATATAACTGATCTTTTTTTTTTTTGAAAGATTATTTTCACATCATCAATCTGTTTCATATTTGCCGGTTAAAACATGCACAGAATTGATGACAGCCATGTTCAAGTCAGGCTCCACCAGGACCCAAACCCCTGACCTTCTGATCTGCAGGCAAATATCATCAATGGGAATTGAGAAAACTAATAAAGGCAGTGCA